GGAGATGGCAGTACTTGGAGTGTTCACTAAATGGACGCACGGACGGACGCACGAACGGACGGATACAGACTAGCGGACGCACAGACGGATGGACGGATGCGCTGAGCGTGTATATGCCACAGGGGATGCGAGATTGCGGTACTTGGAGTGTGCACTATATGGACACACGGACGGACAGACAGACAGACTAGAAGGCGGACGGACAGATGCACGGACGCGCAGACGAATGCACGGATGGCCGCATGGATGGCCGCATGGATGGACGCATGGATGGTCGCGCGGATGGACGGAAGCAAGAACGAACCGACGGACGGGCTGGCGGAAGGTTTGCCCCGCTCATCATTCACTCCGTGGATATGCTGTGATTTTTTAAATATTCTTCTTCTCCAATTTTTCTTTTTTTTCCTTTTCGCGGGATGGTGGTTACGGACACCGTTGGCAGCAACAGCGGCGGACAACTACGGCGCACGCGAGCCTTGTTGTGATGAGCAAACACTTGAGCGCTGCCGAGTCACATATGTTATCACGCTTTTTTTTCTAGTACCATATTGAAATGCGTGCAGTGTTGGCTCCTTATACGCGGTCAGACGTACCCGTGTACGCAGGTGATCAAAATATCAAGAACGTTTCGTACTCAGCTGAATTGAATCGTATACGGAGAATCTACGCAGCCGAAAACGCAGACTTGGTGTGCAGAAAGCGGGTTATGTTGCTCTTTGTAGCTGGATTAACTCCATTGATCGAGGAACCGATGTACTTGAAGATGCTCATTCGAGGGAAAAAGCAAACTAATGTCCGGCGAACACCAGTGTCTGTAGCTCGATGGTGATGCAGCTGCTGGTCCGTGTCTTCTAGTGTGTTTTCTGGCAACGCAAGCATGAATATAGTATCATTGCTGGTAATCATTGGGGAACTTTCTTTATTGATTGTGCCCCCCCCCCCCCCGCGGTGTTCTAGTGGCTAAGGTACCCGGCTGCGGCGGCTGCATTTTCGATGGAGGCGAAAATGCTGTAGTCTCATGTGCTTAGATTTGGGTGCACTTTAAAGAACCCCAGGTGGTCGTAATTTCCGGAGCCCACCACTATGGCGTCTCCCATATTCATACGGCGGTTTTGGGACATTAAACCCCACGTATCAATCCTCATTTCATAATTGTGCTCAGTTAGGCTGAAATACCATGATCCTGATTCTTTCCTTCACACATTTTCAGGAGGTAGGTAATTAAAATCGATAGCGTGGACCATCACACGTAGTAGCTTCGAAATTGCAGTACCCGCTTTATATTAGTATCATCTGTCGGTTGCATCTGTTAGTGAATTCGATAAGCAATATAATATTGAGCAAGAAATATGAAAAAAAATAGAAGTAACGAAGGAGCGAAAAAAACAAGATCACTAAAAAATTGAAATGACGACATTTTCAGAAGATTCGACATGTACATAAAAAATCTTTATTATCATCAACAGTCTTATGGAACATGTTTCATGAAACCACGTTTAAAACAATGCAAGAAAGCGTTTTAAGGAGAATGACGCTCCCGCTAATGCATTTCGCATTGATGATTAGATAGAATATGTCAGCTTTTATTCTGAAAATGTAACGACAACCCTATGTTATGTACACCAGTGACTCGATCACTCCTTCACACAGTCACAATATAAACGCTTCTCGCTATCCACTTATTATAGAAGCTTATGTATACGCACAGACACGCACTTACGTCCTTACATACGCGTATATTGAAAACACACACCACGCAACAGTCATGCCAACGATACGAATCCTGCATCTAACCACTGGCTCGTTGCATGCCCACAGCGACCCATTCGAACATTCACTTAAATGAACATCATGTCAGAATGAAAGAAAAACAAAACAAAAGAGCGCTGCTACAAGCTCGTCCGCTATGACAAGAGCGAGGCGCTAAAGATTCACGCAGATAGATGTTTCACCTTCTCTTTTGCCGCATTCGTCTCGGAACTGTGTGAGGCACTTCCAAGCAGCAAAAGGAATTGCACGAGAAAAAACTGTGCTATTTGAGTGGGTGGCTCACATGCCAAGAACATACATGCCGTTATTACATACCAGCGCGTTTGATTTCACTTTGACGTTATAAAACAGCGACTATTATTTGCCCACATAGAACTTCGCAGCCGACACCGCCCGTTCAACGCTCATGCAAACTCTCCACGAAGGAACTGTCACACTCATGGCGCAACGCTCGGAGGAAGCTGACTACGCAGTAGACAGCTGCGCTGCTGATGAAGTGTGCGTTAGGCAATTTCACTAAAGAGAAAATACTAGTTCTTGTACTAGACCTCGTCGAAGGCAAGCGATCTATTGCGCCTCACAGATCACTGCTATACCCAAGTGACCTATGAGAGCCTATATCCACAATAAATGGCTTTAATCGGCAATCAAGCACAAAATTTCTTTATTAGAAAATTCATCCTTGTTTCTGATTACTTTCATGCTAGGTGTCACTTCAGTGAAGTGAGACACGTGTGGCTGTCAGGGGTATCACCGCCCCTGCGCACGCTACAACCAAGGAGGAATAAAAAAATTGCTGGAGTGAAACTTATTGCGCAGAAGTGAAGCCATTCTTCTGGCAAGATGGCGGTTGTGACGGCCATCTTACTTGGGGCATGATAAAGTATCACCGTTCAGCGATTAAAAAACAAAGCGTTTCCCTCGCACGCCCAACGAGTTTAATGTGGGAACTTTTTGGGTCACACAGTGCTCCAAGTGCGTCTCACAGTTGCTAGTTTTCCTTAGTGAGCTCCTACTTGGAGGCAAAGTTATTTGAATATACAGTGATCCATACTCGTTTCTGTGTGTTATTTCGTCGGGAACAACTATCTTTTAAATAGAACTAACGTAGAATTTACATAACATATCGAATACACTTGATCTTTTAGTGGGCACTATCAGAAAAGAGCATGTTTCCGCCATCTTGGTAGAGGAAAAAGCTGGCTTCACTTCTGCTGGCAAGGCATTGCGGGAGCTTCCGCTTCAGCAATTTTTCTTTAATCCCCCTTGGCTACAACTGACCTACTTATTTTTCTTTGTCTGCATGTATGGATAACTTGGTGATGCTTTCTCATTCTAGCGCTAATGAGTCACATATCTAACGCTTGTGCTAAGCAGACAGAATGCAGTAAAAAAATTCTGACTTATTTTCTTTCTCGACCAATAAATAAAATGGGCACATTTCATATTATTTAAGAGTTGGAATGCGTGGAACACGCAAAAAAAGTTTTTTTATTTAAAATATACTTCTAATTACAGTGTTCAAGTAGAGCTAATATGCAAATACCAACATTGAAGTATGTTGCACATGGTCATGGTATTACAGCTTCAGTAATAAAATGCAGTTATAATGAAAAGAATAATGAAGAAATAGACTTGACCCTCGGTGATAGAGTATCTTCAGCTGCGTATGATTGACAGCTTTAAGTGAGTTATGTACTAATATCACGTACTTTCGCGCTTAACGTTGTCCTAAAATCTCTCACTTTTTTTTTTATTTCCGACTTGATGGGAACAAGAGATCAATGCATGGTTTCGAGCTCTCTTCAGCGCTATGTACAACGCTCTGCAACTTTCACTCGCCGAAACGCATATTAAAATGGACGTCTTGTCACTAATCTCTAACACACAACATCAGAGCACAAGCCAGGGTCATTAGTGTATACCGTCTTATAGCCTCACGAGATTAACTTGGTGAAAACCGTAATAATTTAGGCTAACAAGGTGCGCGGCTTCAACGAGTGTCGGAAAACCTAATGCGAGGCCGCGGAATTTTATGACCTGGGTCTCTATAATGCTCCTCTCTTCAAAATAGCAGCTCTATACTCCTGCTGATGTTTTGCGATGTTATTGTATAAAACATCTGTAGCTATCTGCAAGCTGACTGGAAAATGTAGTATGATAACATTGTCATCAAAGAAGTAACACTGTACTAGACAGAAATGCCGAAAAAGTATTCTGGGATCTGCGCATAGTTAAAAAAAACAGGAAGAAAAAAAAACGCGACCGCTTGACCCGTTCTAAAGGAATCTGCAAATAACGGTGCATTTAGTAATTTCTAGCGGCTATCTTCCTTTTAGCGGTTATAATCAAGCAACAATTATTACATTGCGGGGAACTAACTTGAAAGTAAAACGTTGTTTCACCTTACTATGCTACGTGCAGTACAAGTAATTTATACCCATTCATTCTCCTGTCACATCTATCGGGCAGCATACTAGGCATAGTACGTCCCTGTCTTTCTTATATCCCTTTTTTCTTTATCTCTATGAGAGCTGATGGTTCTAATTTCTTCTCGTTCCCTCTCATGTGTTGTTTTATTTCGCTGACAACACTATATAGCTATTCGCTGAAATGTCTCGCTACAGTAATAGTCCCTAGTATTAATGATCATGAACGAATGGTTTCTAATATCAGGACTGTGAGGATTCGTTGGATCACTGAAGTTTTTTTTTTTTTTGATCTGGACTCTTAAAAGTATACCCATAGAACACAGTGTTTTTTCTAAAAAAAAATAGCCGCACTCGGCCGTGTCATGGCAGTCCTTACTCTGGGTCTCTGTTATATTCTTGAGCATTGGATCTGAACGAGAGAAAGCCTAATATTAAGCAGAATGTATGTGACAGTTTCTTTCACTTTTTTAGCACACCTATTTCGTGTACATTGTTCACCAATACGTTGAGAGTATTGATGCTACGCGCACACATAGTGAATCATAAAAAAAAAACATTATGAGAGGTTTAAAATACAGCACTTTGTTCGGCTTTGCACTTTGTAAGCCACGCACGAAAGGCGAGAGCGTACGTGTTTTTTTTTTTTCATAAAGGTGACCACTGAGAGCGTTCATCAGCAGAAAGACGACACTATTCGTACGCTGCCGATGACGCTTGAGCTGTGTGCACCGGTGACAGACACACCGGCGGCCTTCGAGGAATAAGAGAACCCGCTCGGCGGCTAGCGTGAAGCAATTCTCAAATGTCCGTCTCCACAGAGGGCAGGTGATGTTGATGGTGATGCGGCTGCTGGTGCATGTCGTGCGGCAGCGTTCTCCTCAGCGAGCCGCCGCTCCTGACGCTGTGTGGCGAGTGCCGAGGGCAGGCCACCCTGGGAGGCGACGGCGGTGTCGGGCAACCTTGGAGACCTAAGCTGTACAAGCCCTTGCCGTCTCCGCCGCCTGACGAAAGCGTGATCACGCCTGATTCGAGCTCGTCGAGCCGTTTGCTCACCAGCGCGGCAACCTCTAGGTTGTCCAGCTTTTCCTTGCCGCCGATGCCAACGAGTGTGGGCTGCGCAGGGAAAACAACGTCAGTTATGCTACCTTCACTTCACCTGCGCTTTGATTGATTGATTGATTGATTGATTGATTGATATGTGAGGTTTAATGTCCCAAAAACCACCATATGATTATGAGAAACGCTGTACTGGGCGGGACGGAAATTATGACCATCTTATTTCTTCAACGTGCACCCAAATCTGAGCATACGGGCCTACAACATTTTCACCTCCATCGAAAATGCAGCCGCTATATTTAACCTTCGCCAAACATTCTACTGTTACTGTGACTGTTTTAGTGTCTGCTCTCTTTGTCACTGCAACAGGGTCCCTTTTTATGCGCTGTCTTTAAGGAACATCAGATGTTATTTCCAACCCACAGAAAGATAGTCATCTATGGCGTCTTAACCGATTATCGTAAGTGTTATCGTAGAACTTCACCCCTCTGTTTTTGGCTCCCTCTCTAAGTGATAGGAATAAACTAACGAAGATGTTACCTACTTTACGAACGTGAAGGCATGACATATTAGGGAGTCAACATTGTATAAATTTCCGTATACTTCGCGCCGCTAAAGTAAACATTGCAAAGGGAGGATGTACCGGCTATAGAAGGGCAGTTGTCTTCGTTATAAACGACACTAGTACTGGTACCTACGCAAGATCACACTGCGCCTCTGTCTTTTAAAGCTGACTAAACTGTCCTATTCTGCAAGATCAACGTAATTCTATTCACATGTTCTTCCAATAATACCTTCATATTAAGCTCACACCAGCAGTAGTTCTGAGATTACAGATTTCAAAATATACAATGACAAGGGCAATAAAGCGAACTAGACCCAACATAACGTCGTAAAAATGGCCACATCGCACAAGATCTCGCGTTTGATTTTAGGAGGATGAACACTATCCTCATGTGATCGTTCTGTCATGCCAAAACGGAAGGAAACTCTGTGCATGCACATTATGCAACAAAGAACGGAAATACTCAGACCTGTTAAATGTGACATAAAGTTTTGCGATTTCTAAAGCAACGTTGTGTGAAACAAAGAGCTCACCTCATGATTATCATAGCGCACCTTGGGGCTCCAACCCCAGGGCTTCTTGTCGAGGTAGTCAGCGGGACCTGGTGAATGATTGGAGTACCGGGCCATGTGTGGTGCTTGTACCCGTTCCAGTGTGCGGTTGCTCTTCATTTTCTTGCACCACAGCAGCAGTGCTCCCAACAGAAGCAACACAAGTGCTCCACCGATGACGCTAAGAGCAATGTATGTGCTTTGAAACATGGGATCTGTAAATAGAAATCAGTGACACAGGTGTAGGTGTTGAAATGTAGAAGGTAAAATTTCGCTGATGCCCATGTTTGTTTTCTCGCCTAGCTTTAGTGTTATGTTGGCTCCGAGGGAAAGGTTTGCCACCAAATGCACCAGAAATACTGAATAAATTAGTTACTGTAGTGAAGAAACCATAATATTCGCTAGTTATGCCGATTGGCATTGACTAAATACAAGACCTACCATAAAATTTGAATCCTATGACGTGACACTTTCCTCCTGCCATGTCAGAAGTACTGCAGCTAGAAGAAAGAAAGAAACGAAAGAAAAAAAGAAAAAAAAGAAGCATGAGTGGTTTAAAACACCGCGTTTTTGCCACAGATCATTGTTCCTAACCACAGCCATGAAATTAGCGACGACTTCATTGAAATGGCGACTGTTATTTTTACCATTAGAATGTGGTGATACACTCATGTGCGACCACTTCGCTGCTGACATTTCTTAAGCCGCGCGTTTTTACGACTACTTCGTGCAGGAATTGAATTTGAATGGCGCGGATTAGATGTACTCGCGGAGGCATAATTTAAGACAACCGCTATCACTTTTAAGGTGTTACCGCGCACACTCATGATCGCGGCAGTATTTACCGCAGAACTGAAGTAGTAAAGCAATATTTTTCTGTCAAAACTCATGGGAAGAACTATTGGACTATTGGAGGACCTCATAGGCAGATACACCTTTCTGCACGAAATTGACGTATCTGTGCACAAAAAGGAATGATTGCCCTGGTGAAACTCGCCTGTTATGTTTAAAGCTGTTTCGCGCAGGAAGCCAACTGTAGGATGAATTGTGATTTATTACGTCCACCTAACTGCTGATAAATATAGAAAATTTGGCTAGCCGCCGTAAGTGGTATCTGGCTGTTTGGGGGCTTTGTGCTTGTACAAAGAATTTGATACTCGCTCGTGTGCTCTGCTTCAGCGCTCACTTATTTGTTAGAGGCTCTTTTCAATGCAACATAGATGATATACCAGAAACTTCCTCCATATCACTGCGCTCTATCACATGTCATCATGAATCATGGTGCAACTCACACGAGAGAAGCTGTTTAGTTACTGAACAGATAGTTTCCGATTCTTACATCTACTTATGCAAAATTGCCGCTTTGCATATCGTCCAGGCATTTTTTAAAGCAAACTAAACGATATGTAAGGTCCACAAGTATTGAACAAAACAGCTAATTGTGCACTGCACGCCATGAAACATGCGTATCTTTAAAGATTACGATACGCATTAACTTTTTCATAGTTCAGGACCATTGAAATTTCGTCGTCATAACTTACCCAGCACTTGATGCATTTGGTAGTGCCGATGGCAGAACTGTAGAAATTGTTGGCAATTCACTTGGTGTCGTCATATCTGGAACTAATAAACTGAACAGTGAGATCCTGTGCAATTTAGCTTGTTGCTACGTTGTCGCTTAGTCCTCTCTAAGTCAAGATTATTAATTAACGTAAACGTGAGCGGACATTTCTTGGAATGTAGTCAGAATAGATAGTCTGTAACTCACTTTCTTATCGAAAATTGCAAAGTTTAGCTTTGTTGTTGCATAAAAAGACGGGGTCGTGCAAGGGAAATAAAAGCGGAACTTCATCCTCGTCACAAACAACGCACCTATAATGCATACAATTTGGACAGCACCGTTTTGCCGTTACTGCAAAAGAAACTCGCATAAGTGATGCTTTATCCTTCCCGAATGACTCAAGTACATCTCCTGCTTTCTAACAACGCAACTTGTGAAAAGTAAACATTTTATGGCAAAAGTGTTGTGGAATTTCTCTGTTCTGCTTTTTTAAACACGAACTACTTTGGAGCAAGTTAACCTGCAGGAGTTTTCGTTTTTAGGCGGAGTCAAGTGCGTTTGTTATTTATGTTGGCTACCCTCATTGCTTGTTTACACTTCCGTCTATTAGCACTTTTCTAGAACTAATCCTAAAGGTCCAAATGTAGCCCAACTGCTTATCTGTGCAGGCTATTCGAGCGCTCAAAGGCAAAATTCTCATCAGTGGCTTCATCAGTTGTTGCGGATGGTTGCATGGTGGTCGTGCTTGTGTGAACGACTTTATTAAAGTAATATCATAGCAGTTGTTCAAAAGAATAGGAGTAGCCGGTGCCATAAGTTCGCACCAACATTCTCTTACACGCGTATAATATTATAATCGTTTAGATAAAATATGACCTCAACATCTGTTTGCAACTTCTCATTTACAACTTAGGATCAATCGATGTAGTAGAAAGTTCGTTTGATTCTGATAAGAATTTTAATAAGTTTGGGATGACGTGGTCTAATCGAAGTGTGCGACAATTTTGAACGTATATATGATACCAACCCATCAAAAAATATAATGGAAATTAGTGACATGAGCCGATACTTCAAGAAGTACAATGCTGATGGCACGCCCATATGCCTCAACGTACTAATTAGCGGAAAGAACCAATAAGTGTTTCAAGCAGCGTTCATGAGCAGGTATATCGGAAAGCTATCGCTTTGCTTTGATGACAATCCTACAAAGGTTTCTGGTCAGGTTGTTCTTCTGTTCGATATGTGTCGTCTAGTCCCTACTGTTTCGAAACAACATATTCCTGAGACTATATCGAACCATTTTCAGAAATTGAAGACATTGAAGCAAGCGGAAGTGACTACTGTCCTAAACGGTGATCTTATTTGACGAATATATGTTAGTAAGACTTGTACAGACTATCTACGGTCATGCATGTAGCAACTGCAGTGACGGAATTCCTAAGAACACGTGAATGCATTACCATTAAGCAATCGGATACTTCTGCGGGAGGGTGTGTTGCGCGTCAGCTTGCTGGAGCGTTTATTTTTTCTCTACCAAAGCTGTCGGACCATATAAAACTGAACAATGAGGCACAGGTGATCGTGTTTCACATGTTCATGGAAGGAAAACACGAGGAAAGACAAGTGCCAGGCGTGTGGCATTATTTCGTATTCAAGATGATGCTATTTTCTACCAATTCTTTTTTTATTGTGTGACGGTGGCCTTATGCTCTCAGAAGAATCAAGAATTTGTACATAGAAAACGCAGACAAGGTGATCGAACTAGACGTTCTGTAGTAGTGGTAGTTGATAGATTGTGAATTTTGCCGTAAGCGGTAATTTGGTTAAGGCAAAGGCATATTGTTTTAAGGAATACCATTGCCTCGGAAGTGAAAGGAATACAGCACATAACTTATAAATAAGGATTAGGTATACTAAGGCTTTGCAGGAATTATGGCAATTTGTAAATTACATTGTTACACTGTTTTTGTGATTGCCTACAGGTAAGCGAAATCCTTATAAGCTTTTTCTAAGTGCTCCGCAGTGGTTAAACGCGGAAACAGTATTTTGCGTGAACTAGTGCAACATAAAAAATCAACTCCTCACATGTTGAGCAATGCCTTGAATCTGGCTGGCTGGGGCAGGCACAGATGTGTCCATGTGGCCTGTACAAGCACAGGTGAGAGCACCCACCGTTTCCTCACACTGCAGGAGTTTGTACCTGAGACGAAAACGAATTTTCAAAGTTTAACCGTCACAAGTGACTACTACGAAAAAAAAAAGGGAGACATACCGCAACGATGTTGCTGTAAAACTAAAGTTGGTGACGCATTATTAAATAGCGCACGTTTTTAATGTTCGCACTTTCAACGCAGTGAGACTGCCTGTTAGCATATCGTAGCGTGCTATTCCATAAAATTAAGTGGTGAGCCAGAAAGCTGCTGCCTTGCATGCTCTGGTTTTACTGTAAATACCCTTTTATCTGAAGTTCTATTGGTAATAAATCCAGATTTCGAGCCAGCTCAAGCGATTCGCTGATATATTGTGACAGTGCGGGAACAAAAAAAAAACATAAATTTTAGTTCTTGAGAGAGTGCTCGCGGGAGCAAGGAATGAGTTGAATGTAAGAATAAAACAACTGTTGGCTGCACTAGTGAGATTCCGGACTAGTATTAGGGTGGTAGTATCAATAGTATACAGGAGTAAAAGTCCCATGTCAGGGTTTACAGCCTAGAGCCTCTGCTGTCGATCCTGTAAGAATTTGGCAACAATAACCATCGATTTAATTCAATTCAGATAGTCATTTAGAAAAACTCGTGAAATTATATTTGAGCTAACAACATTGGGTAAAGACCAGTAGCAAATTGCATTTAAAATGACACCAAAGAGAAACAATGTCTTGATTCAGATTGATGCCTAGCTGCTTGATTGATTGATGGTGATGGCGGGAGGTTGATGGTGGCGTCTCCACCCGCTTTTTCTTTCGCGCGTTTTGTCGCTTTCTAAGCCTCATGTTGTGGTAGGAGTGGTCTTTTGACGGATTGTGAAACTGTACTTTACTAATAGTTAAAAATAGGTTTAGCTCTTTAGTGTCCTTTTAAGAAGTCCGGAGAGGCCCCGATCAAATAGATGAAAGAAGACAGTGAGTGGGCTCCACGGCAAAAAAAAAAAAATGTGCTGGAAATTTACTGGGAAAAGCCTTCCAAAGACGGAACAACCATCCTCCCGGTTTATGGCATCAGTCTTGAGAACGTCGTCGTTGTTGCAGGCTCGGGTTCCACATCTTTTGCGGAGGAAAAGTCGCCGACTTGTAAAGTTGTACTCGAGTACCGGAAAGCTTCGATTTCAAAGCTTTGAAATGAGGCACCGTCAGTAGGATGCGCACCCGCATGTTGAGAGAACCAAGCCCTACCGTCACCCCCTTCACTTGAGCTGGTTTTGAAAAAAAAAATAGGGGGAAAAATTCAAGCAGCTTTGTAATAATGGTGCGAAACCTGAATTGCAGAGCTAGGCAACCTTTTTCTATCCTATTCGTTTTTTCCTTTATTTCTGCTTTTCTTTTTATTTCTATTTCTGAATTTTTTTGTTGTTTTGCGTCTTTTTATTTTTATTGACTTTTATTTGTCTTCCTATTTTTTCTTGTTTTCATATCTCCTACCGTTTCTCACTTTCTTCGTCTTTTTCTTTGTTTTTATAAGAATTGTTTTGTCTACAATGCGTCAAGCGACGACAGCATACGACAGCGTCGAGCTCTCAAGTTCTCCGCACTTGATATCACATCGATAGCGCTCGATGAACACGACAAAGAAGGCTTTTTTTTGTGGCGAGCACGCACACCGATATGCTACAGATGGATATGTTGTGCGTGGTTTTCTTAGCGTCACGCCAATCTACGTCAGACGACGAGAGCATACCGTAGCCCCGAACCCCTAATCTGCTGCACACCTAAAATTGATACTCGGATCTCTTACAGAGCCGTGGATCTCTGGCGACAGGGCAGAATTCTCGAGTTCAAGATTAAACATTGTGCAGAAATGAGGCACATAATTTACCAGTCTGCCTGGACCTTGCCACCATCTTGATCTCCATCAGGTACTCAATGTTGTCCCGAATGATGACACGCTCGGCACCCGTTTCTTTGTGAGCTTTTTCGATGGCCTTTGTGTGCCAATCTGTCCAGTATATGTAAGACTGGTACTGCAAGTAACAAACGGTGTCCCATAAAACACAACTATTTTATGAGTAAGCCAGAAACCTTGGCTCTAGTACAAGTAACACAGAAGAAATTAGCATTTTTATATAAAAATAATGAAAAGGGCCAACAAATACTTTTCCTCAACAGAAATATTTGTGGTTCAGTAAGATATTGACTGTGCGAAGTCATAGTAAGCCTTGCCACAGAATAAACATGTAAGGCCAAGAGCATTGCAACTTGTTCACGTGAATGAAATAAATTTATATGCAGATGCCTCTTTAAAATATACGTTTGTGTGCTCAACAACTCCGTGTTAATAGAACACTTTATTGTATTGACCCTTAACATTTCTCCTGATGGTATAATTTTTACAGCTGTGACCTATGTGGTTTGTGACAACATTATCTAAAAGCTCAAGCAAATTACTAATGAAACTAATCAGACTTGTAAGATTGCGTGAAGCTATAGAGAGACAACAAGGTTGAGCGAAACATAGGAAAGTTACCTAGAAGAAAGTTTCCTGTTTGCTACCCTGCCAAGGGGTAAGGAAAATATTTATATTACAGTACATATTAAAAATCACGAGAAAAATATAGCAGTTACCATATCTTTTCACCTAATTTTTCAACCCATGTCAAGCTTTCAGTTGTTCATGACAAGACACTGCAGAACATACATATTTTGAAGAAACAATCATGGCTGTAAAAGTAATTGAATATACCGGCATCGCATTAATCGAAGCCAGAACACGGCATCCTCACTGCAAAGAATAAGTGAGTTGATTGCCTAATTGACTTGTCGAACTCATTTATTGTGCAATTTGTACTTTCTTCAGGTGCGAGATACCAACGCGAGAACAAGATATTGCACTAAGCCTCATAAAAATTGATTATTAAGAATGTGACTTTCATGCCTGTAACTGTGTGCCTTTTTACGCGCTTTGTGCGTAATTACCTGAGTGAGTCCGAAGGGATGTGAAACGCCTTCAATAAGCTTTTGTCTACTTTTGCCGTTGAAGTCCGAAAACTCGATACAGTCAAGCTGGGCATCGACCCAGTATAGTCTTTCTGTCTCGTAGTCAATGGCCAATCCATTGGGCCAACCAAGGTCCGTGGCTATGATGACTCTTCTCCCACTACCATCCAGAAAAGAGCGCTCAATTTTCGGAAGCTTTCCCCAGTCTGACCAGAAGATGAACCTGAAACAAAGCGATGGTGCAGAAAATAGTTATCTTGTAAGACCACCCGTTTAGCTCAAGCACTGGCTTCGTTTTGCTGTGCGGAGCGTACAGATATAGTGTTGCATTGCAATAATGAGCTTCTGCAGAAATATTAAGCTTAGCTGTGCTCACAAAGTGCAAGATCTCCACCCCATTTTTCTATCCTCTCAGTAGGGCGCTATAGTCAGTCCTACACGTTTGCTCGATTAGAGAAGTCCTTTCAGTATTTAATGTGTAGGGTTGTCTGCTTTTTTTAATGTGTAGGGCTGTGCTGCTTTTTGTAAATAATGCTGACCGAGCTTGGTCCCCGTCTTTAGCCCACCGTCCTCCCACACTTCTGGAAGCTTGAAATTCGAATTTGAGGAGTACAACTTTTTTTCAATTAAACAACCATTTCAATGTCCATTCGCTTTTTTCTTTCACAATCGAGCAGGTGAGCCGCTGCCGTTGAACTTGACCGCTCTTACCGAATACCTCTGCGCCCCATCGTGAAATAAAGTGCAAAGAGAATAGTAGAAGGTTTAACTAAAAATAGACCCATTTTAACATTTGAAAGGCACTTAAGCAAAATGTGCGCGTCTGCATGCAAACACACAAGTGAAAAGAAACCACAAAAACAAAAATTGCTCAAGCATAAACATATGCTACTTCCAAGTTCCAAGAAAAATGTTTTTGTTGCTACGTGACCCGTCAGATCGCACCCATGGCGTCATTCGAAATAGTATAGAAATTTGGACGGGTTTTAGAAAAGCTCAGCGAATCAGTTTCACCAATATGAGCTACATTGCAGAAAAAACGCGACTACATTGAATTAAAGTTAACGTATACTTACAGTACTGCTGAATAAAGAACACGAGGTGTGCTGGTACGAGCATTTCTGCAAGCGGAGTGTTTTCCTCAACGCTGCAAGTGCCCACATTAGCGCATGTATGTATATGACAAACTATTATTTATTGTTGGGATTGAGCGTCCCAAGACCGTCATATGTATATGAAAGACGCCGTAGAAATGGGGTCGGAAAATCAGAACACCTGGTGTCCTTTAACGTGCACTTATAGATTTCTTGGCACACGGGCCTCAAGTATTTTTAATTGCATTGGAAATACCACCTCCGTGACCGCAATTTGATGCCACGTCCTGCGGGTCAGCAGCCGACTGCCTTGGCCACTACAATGTCTGACACACACAAATGCGCACGTCCGTCTACGATACGCATACATGTGCTAAGACAGGTGCTTGAAGCATTGAAGAAGAGACTGTTTTCACAAACGTTTATTTCAAGACCCACCCTGCATTTGAGATTTTTTTAAATCTATTCAGGCTTCCATGTATTCCTGAGCTTCTACTTTAAAGCAGACATAGTACCTGTAAACTTTAATTTATTTCGCACCCCGTCGTACGAAAAAACTCTCTTATGAGTAAGGCCGCTTAAGTTCATGATATAATAATAATAATAATAATAATAATAATAATAATAATAATAATAATAATAATAATAATAATAATAATAATAATAATAAAGCGACAGCTAGTTCGCATGCGACGGCCTGTTCGTAAGAGAACATTGTTATTTGCGAATCACTCGGTACTCTCCAACTCTGAGAACTTGTTGAGAAGCACTGACGGCGCAATAACAAAGTGTGCTTGACATCTAGCACTCTGAAATGACGCAGCTGCGTCATTAAAAGAGTATAGTGACCAGTATAATACTGCTGTTCTTGTGACTAAGCGCTATCCCATTGGCAGATCAACATGGTTGGAGTAGCGAGTCAGCTGTCGTCTCACCCTTTTTCGGGAAACAATGCGAGCGCGCGCGGCTCGTCCAGGTCGAGGTTTATCAAAAGTTTCCTGCTTGACCCATCCGCTCGGGCGACCTCTATTGTCTGCAAAACAAAGACACGAAGAGGAAGCTGATGAGATGTAAATTTTACTCAAAAACGATGTGTTTCAGGTGACTTGCCTTGCGCCGTGAATCAGCCCAGTAAATGTTTCGCGCTATCCAGTCCAGTGCTAAACCATCAGCTGCTTCGAGGTCATTGTCTACAATTACTTCCACATTAGTACCATTCAAGTCCACTCTCCTAACAAGAAAAAAAGATAGAAAAACAACAACCATACGTTATCACACCTGACTGTAAAGTATACGCTACACAAACAGTTTTATTAAAGCTTAATAGCTCGAGCCACACATGCTATAATTAGTTGAGGTGTGTTTGGTAATGAGCAAGCTGCAGTTGTGCACATTGGTATCATAGAAACTGCTCCAATCAATGAAAAACTTCCATTTTAAGACACGAAATTTATATTGAATGCTGAGGAAGAGAAATACCCAAAAAATGTGGTTAAGTATGCGTCTTAGAAGGTCTTTAGGGGAATAATGGAAAATCACAAACTGCAACACTTATTCACAGCGAAAGCAGGACGAATTTCCTCCGGTTTTCATTATTTATCACTGTACAGTTCAGTTGTATGATTATGTTGTGGCAAGACAATGTGGTCACACTTTCAAGAGGGTCGGCGAGAACACGTCTGAAATATGTGAGTGAAAATTGTCAAAGGAAATATCCTCACCTAATCACGTCAAGAGTAACATCCGTGTAGTAGAGCTTCCATTCATTGTAGTTGAAGTCAACCGCCACGGCATTGTAGACATCGTTCAGAGGTAGATGCATGTCAATGTTGTCGGCAGTGTCTAAAGATATTTTCCGAAGGCTACCACGGTTGGCGAATAACAAAAATGCAGAAGGCGCTGCAAAAAAAAAAATGTCAACAATTAGAGAAAACATGTGGCATTGGCTTAGCTCGGCTAATCTAAGGATATGCGTAGCGTGAGATCACGGGGACCGCTAAACTGCACGTTTCACGCATTGCACTAATCCGGAGTCAAGTATTCGATGTGTCACATTCGTTCACACATGTCGCACACATATCCAAACAGATTGTTTGCGATGTTCGTCTCAGAGGCCTGACTTACTTGCGCTGGCGCTTCTGGAGAGTTTCACCGTATCGTATTCAAAAGGCCTCCTGGCGACACTGCTTTGCTAGACATTCCTTCTTTTGCTTTCGTGTCTCCATGGCACGTCTAGCCTGCTCCTGTTCGTTCTTTCTGTGCTCGGCCCCTCATTAGAAACTACCTCTGCATCACATGAGTTCAGCTTCTCCGGTCATCTTGGCCTCTGAGCAACAATTCTTCTCTCCTTTAAATGGCTGTGCCATACTGCCAAACATCCAACTATATGTATGAAGAACCGTGGCAGACACGTTCAAAGAAGAGAGCAGTGTGGCACGATGCGCATAAGCTACGGGGTACGATCAGCATGCGTTTTCCGCGCCTATGAACTCACTGTTGCAGAACGCGCAGACTGGCGAGTGCGAGGCTACCTCAGTCACTGATTCTCCCGCATGCGCAGCACGGCTCTTGGACGTGCACGCAAGACTGATTTGGCTCGGCCAGCTGATTAGTATGTGGGGTTTAACGTCCCAACATCACCTTAAGATTATGAAAGACGCCGTAGTGGAAGGCTCCAGAAATTTCCACCTCCTGAGGTACTTTAACGTGCACCGAAATCTGAGTACATGGGCCTACAGCATTTTCGCTTCCATCAAAAATGCAGCCGCCGCAGCCGGGATTCGATCCCATGACCTGCGGGTCAGCAGACGGAACGGCCAGTGTGGATAGCGCGAGAATAGTGCATGTTCGGGCTTAATGTCTCCAAAGCATAATATAAATCAGAGGCACGCAATAGGGGAAAGTTCCGGAAATTTCACCCATCTGGGGCTTTTTAACGAGCACCTAAATGTAGATACATGGGCCTCAATCATTTTCGCCTCCATCGAAATGCGGTAGCTGCGGGCGGGATTGGATCTCGCGACGTTCGGCTCATCAGTCGAACATCACAAGCACTAGACCACCACGGTGGTTATATGTACAACTGTGTTCGTCAACAGAGATTTATCCACTTTAATTGAATTATTTCAAAACAGTGGCTCATGCTTTGTAATAGTTAATATAGGGGTGAACGTTCCTGAAGATTTAGAGAAAATGTACTAAATATTCAGATAACAGCGAACCTACGCTTTTGTTTACATACGCGACATATACTCCTTTCACCTATGCTATCTAGCGGGGCTTTGTAAAGTGCCTAGTAGAAAATGCTACCTTTTGTTACGAGCTGATTTTACTAAAATCTTGAGCTGATTAATCACCTGGACGGCTTTAAGCTCTTCTCAAAACACAGTACTTAGTACTCTTAATCATTTCGCTCTTTTAATGAACGCAATCGTCTGCGTACCAGGACGGCTCACTGTTCTCTCATAGTAGACTACGAAGTACTAGAAATCGGTCTTCTGAACGCACAGCTTCATGCTTCTCTAGAGTGGAATAATAAATGCGAAGGAATTTCAGCGAACTTCGGTGAATTTGAGCCTGTCCGTCCGTCCGTCCGTCTGTCTGTCTGTCTGTCTGTCTGTCTGTCTGTCTGTCTGTCTGTCTGTCTGTCTGTCTGTCTGTCTGTCTGTCTGTCTGTCTGTCTGTCTGTCTGTCTGTCTGTCTGTCTATCTATCTATCTATCTATCTATCTGTCTGTCTGTCTGTCTGTCTGTCTGTCTGTCTGTCTGTCTGTCTGTCTGTCTGTCTGTCTGTCTGTCTATCTATCTATCTATCTATCTATCTATCTATCTATCTATCTATCTATCTATCTATCTATCTATCTAAGACTTTTAGCTCTCCGGGCCATTTCGATAATGGTATCAATGTCAAACTTGGTATGGCATAACATGACTATATCAAGAACATATTTGACTAGTCATAGCATGAAAATTATGGCATGTATGTAATGAATGTCATAATTTACACTTCATTATCTTGTTGCTCTTGCGGTGGTGTCGTTCACATGACATATTGCGAAATTGGCATGGTATGACATCACTGCATGGGGAAGCCAAGTCACAGACCCTAACGTCGAAATCCTGACATGCATGTCATGTAAGTCATGACTACACGCCACGCGCATGGTACGCTCGCAGTCGTTTCGCTAGCTTTCACTGTGTAAGAAATAATTGAGCTCAGGATGTATTATGCTAGCAGACTAAAGATAGATTCATGCCCTCCTTGTCCCGTAATAATATTCAAAGGCTACGCAAGTATATTTGCGAATTTCTGACAGTTTTCTTAGCAAGAAAATGTCGACCAATATATATATATATATATATATATATATATATATATATATATATATATATATATATATATATATATATATATATATATATATATAAACCATCGCCCTCTTTTTTTTGCGACTATTTTTGTCTACAAATGCTCCTCCTATATGCGGCCGCTGCACTTTGTATCTGTGTGAGGTTCTCATCGAGGGGGTTGACTGTCGTGTATAATTGTTTAAAGTTAACCGCTAACGTCTCCCGGCAGACGCCTTTCTTCACCTGTTTTTCGGAGCATGTTGCGCTGAGGAGGAGAAGGAAAAAAAACTTTATTCAGGAAAAAAGGAAAGTAAATGCAGACAGGTGTGGTTGGGCCCTCAGTCCAGGACTCCACTAGTACGAGCGGCTCGCAGGGCCTGGTCAAGCAAAGCTTTTTGGCTCTGCTTGGCTTCGTCCACAAGCCATGCTTCTCTCTGCCTGTGTAAAATGTGCGGATGGCTAGTAACGTGTGGACCGTCAATATGTGCGCGCTTTTGTGGTGCACTCCAGTGTCATGTGGCGGAGCGTCGGTGTGTCTGAACACCATGCATGGGCATGTTTCTGTAAATTATTTGAGATATATTCTACTTAGGTGGTACAAATTTGGAAAGATATTCGTTTGTATGCGTCTCTCATCCCTGCTTTGTTGGCTATTTTGCTGATGTTGAATCGATCCTTTAATAGCACGCTCCCAGTTTGTCAATATTGAAGTTTTTGGTCACTGAAATTTCGAAGGGGCTCAAATTTCTTTTTATGAGGTAGTCGCCCACATGGTAAACAATATTTCATGGCTGTTACTTGCGATACTTTAAGAAATGTATGCTCTAAAAATATTTGGATGAAGAAAACAAGTTGGTATAGTTTTGTGTACTTCTTCCGTGAAAAGCGCGTGGCGTGCGCAGTGGCATCTTGGGCAAGACAAGACACAATATTCACAAGAGCTTCACGTGCGTACAAGTAAGGTTGGTAATTAACTTGCATGTAGACTTTAGATGGACTTTTAAATATAATGTCGGGCGTCACGTGAATGCACGCGCTCAAACACAACTGCCGCAAGCACGCCACGCCTGTGATCCCACGGGCGCTCGCTGAACCTGTTATCCCCGCCCCCAGTAGCACCGCAGTTGTGGCCCGGGAACCTAGCCCTGACACGCTAGTTGCGAAGTACGATCATGCGAAAAAAACTGTCTTGTAACACATTAGGTCTTTGAAAGGACCTTGCAAAGCTTTTCTGAGGGACCATAAAATAGTTTCACTGTATAGGCGCATGACCCTTCACAAGCTACGTACCGTAAAAATGTTCAGAACCCGCGAAGTGTGAGAGAAATTCCAGCACCTACTTCTGGCTCTCTCTCTCTCTCTCTTTTCGTTCCTCCTAGAGCGCTAAAAGCTTTAAAGAGGCAGGGAACTGACAAGGTGGAAAAACTGGGTCACATTGTCAGCGGCCATCGCGACGCTGAACACTTTCGTTTCAATTTTTTTTTTCGAAGGTGTCAGTTCCAGTCAGTTTATAGCGCGTGCGTGGGCACGTGGTGGCCTCTTGCGACAGTTAGGATAACTATACAGCTCACAAAGCTCAAATGAGTCGACGGCCACTGACCGAGCATTTGGCGTAGAAATAGGGGAAATATGTAACGAGGAGAGGGAGCGGTATCTAGCTGATTTTGCGAATCAATTCCAATATCCTGGACGCGCGCGGCACTATAATTTTTGGCTCGCGTGTTGTTGCGATACTCGGCTGCCATGCGGCAGCATTTTTTAAGCATGCTCAAAAAAGTGTTGCAGGGCCCTTTAACTTGAAGCGTTCAGAGGGAGGTTACATGGCTTAATATTCAACCAAAACCAACATGAACGTTAAGCGAAACGCGAGCTTACTCCGACTATTTCGCGGATGGCTTACCTTCGTAACAAGTTCTGTCATCAGATTTTAGAAGGATTCCGGTTGGACACGCACACGAATACCCGTGAGGCTTTCTGAGGCACAAATGGCTGCACCCTCCGTTGGTCCTTCCGCAGACGTTGATGCCTGCAGGGCAACTTTTTCACTCAGTACTGTCAACGGAACGCCACAGCTAGAGCATTGCGAAACATCTAGGCGTTGTAGATCTTAAGTTGCCTCACGTTAGGTGAGAAAAGTGAGAGAGGTGCATAAGATGAGGAAGAGTTAAACTTTCTTGCACAGTGAATTCTTCATGCATATCAGCCAATGAAGTCTATATTAGGTCGGAAGCTTTCGCAAGTATGCAACGCATCACAAGGCGAAAGCGATGGTTTTACACACCTTGAGCAGTGTCTGTCCGCAAAAGCTGTCAAACAAATTCATAGGATGTGTTACACAAAACGCGCCATTTTCTTCGCTTAACTGGCATGCCTCTAATGAGATGGTGGCCTCAATGCATAAATGGATAAACTTTATCATTGGAATGCGCTCTCGCACACTGGGACCACTGTCCCGTCAGAACAGAACGACCAAGTCTCTTGGCTGCGTCGCGAGCCCGTTGAACTGCCCATAACTGTTTTTCGAATCTGGAGCTCGTAATAGGAACCCAATGGTATTGTCTTGACTAAAACTGTGCTACGGGGGAGACAACAGAGTAGAAGCAGACAGGACGAACACAGCTATTATTCTGGTGTCTCGTCTCTGGCGCAGTTTAAATTTACAAAGTGGCTTACCAACTAAGCCCCCTTGCCCCCTCAAAACAAAGGCTTTTCGAGTTTAATGGTAGTACAATATTAATATCCTGGATTGGATATTAACTATTATTATTAGCCTTCCTCGTAACGTCAATTTCTCTTCTCCAACCCTTGACATACAACACGGTATATTTCTGTGCTATAGTTTGCCTTCGTTTTCTCCTCTTCCTTCTTACGTCAATCGTACTCACCCTCATTTTATTGTTTCGTCAGCTTCCTAAAATGTACCGTACAAGGCTACACCACGTTCTACTCTTTTCTATCTGCTTTTATTTCCACATAACCCTCAAATCTCTCTCCTTCACTTCCAGTTCGCTTTCACCACCTCCTGCCTCACTGCACTCTCCAAGGCTATGCTATGCTGGGAGCTTATACAAACCCGACTGCCCTGGCGCGAATCCGCGGAGTTTATCGTGGGCGAGAACGACGCTACTCCAAGCCTAAACAGCTGTGCTCTTAGACATCGTCCCAACTGTGTGACAGAGAATGTAATACATACCGGCGTACTCGGTGTTTACTCCATGTATGTCCATCAGACCGGCCAAGTTGGCCCTGATCATCTGTCCGTTCTGGCCGTTAGTGTCGGACCGATGGATGGCTTTGGTCTCCCAGTCGGTCCAGTACAGGTGCCCGGAGAACGCCAGCACTCCGTACGGGTGGGCGACATCTCGCGCCAGTACCTTGCGATTCTTTCCGTCAAGGCCAGTTGACTCGATAACCTAGCAATAATGCATTTTCATAAAGTGCGAGCTTTTCGTAGTAATTAAATTTCAAAAAGCAATGCTAGATTGAAGTGTGCGACAGTAAAATTCATAGTTTTCATGGTTTGGTGCACTTCCAGTAATTGTTTTATAAAGTGAGGGGAACTGTAGGTTATCACCGTATCAGCTGCTGTTATAATCAGACATTAATTAACAAGTACACAAACACATTTACTATATAGACCACACGTCGAACAATTACCGTATATATATATATATATATATATATATATATATATATATATATATATATATATATATATATATGTGTGTGTGTGTGTGTGTGTGTGTGTGTATGTGTGTGTATGCGCTAATTACTTTTTTTTATTTACGGCTCCTGACGCAAACCACGCTTGGAAGTCAAAACTGTTGTATTCATTTATTCATTGCGAAATGGAACAGCTAGGCTGAGTAATGTGCACAGAAATGTCCGCGAGCACTGCTTGAAGGCCAACTCCGGTGAGTTTTCGACCATGTCAAGGTAATGGTGTTTATATGTTCCAGAGACACTTTTGTAACGAGCCTAATACCTGAAATGCTAAGGAAATTTGAAAACAATATATAATAAGCATAAAGGTGATCTTCCGAAACCGAAACACAACTGGATGCCCTGTCTGTGTATGACGTACTATTTGGTAAGAACCGGAGGCCGTATACTGGTTCCGCCGGCATGATGAATCAAAACTGGGAAAGCCAGACCAGAGAAGCGCTGATCAAACACCACAGAGGAAAGAAGAAAGCGTTCCCGTGCTATACCCGTGCCAAAAACCGCCATTGTCGCCTTATGGCTAGCACAATAAACGCTGTAGCAGCCAAACTATCGATGCCATCGGCTGCGTCACTTCCGTTTGCATGCCAAACATGACATCACACGGACAGTGTTACCAATCATTCTGGCAAGCGAGGTGAGCTTTTCAAGGCCATTTTTTAAACTCCTTTGCAAAGAATTAGCGCATCTCTCAAGCCTGTAATTTGGCATAAATGATGGAACAGTACAAAGCAACGTACCCAGTCATTTTAATTGAGACAAATTTACCTCGAAAAATCACTGGAGATGGCCTTTAATGTGCTACACGAAATACGAAGTTATCCCATTCGAACGAATAACTTACTCCTGCTTATAGAAGACTATTCCCCATTCTACTCTGCAAAGTTATATATATTCAACTGAAAGTTTAAAATAAAACAAATCAGGGTGAAAGTAGTTTCAGTTTACGGCCATGTAGTTACGACAATTACCGTAAGAACACCTCAGCGGAACTCTAGAACTGATATATGCTTTTCACGAGGAAGTTCGAAAGGGTGAAACTTAGTATAAGGTTTTCAGAAACTTACGTGTAGCTTCGCATCGGCCCACACAAGGCGCGATGACTCCTTGTCAATAGTAAGCCCATGGGGCCAACCTAAGCCGTCTTGTACCAGGAGGGCTCTGTTTTCTCCGTCCATATCCGCTGATTCGATGCGGATCTTGTTTCCCCAGTCAGTCCAAAACATAGCACTGCATTCCAACATGTCTTTTTTACACGAGAAAAGTCATGTTGTGGAGATTGCAACCATTGCAACGAACTTTAATAGGGCACTTGATTGGGCTGGTTCGTGCTGCATGGTAGACGAAGAAAGTGCCTAACAGCGCAAACGACCGGAGGGGATAGAAGAGACTAGAACAAAGCGCTCTGTTTCCGTCTCTTCTATTCCCTCCTGTCGTTTTCGCTGTCAAGAAGCACGTTCTTCGTCTACCATTGCAACGAACACAAAGGGGCTCTCCAACACTGGAGATCATTTTATCCGGAGATAATTTAGTATAAGACCAAGCACCGATATCAAGTGATTCAGTATTTTAATCACACAATAAAGAGTCTACATCACTGCCGATCACATCACCACGTTGTGGCGCTTTCCAGAACTTTGCGGGCGGATATGACGCCGGATTGTTGGCGCCATATGATTGGATAAACGCAACGTTAAAAGCGATTGTGGTGTAGGATGAAAACTGAGCCTACTGATCTGTTTCGTTTTCTTCTCTGTGCCATTTCATCGAGCACTGAACAGACGTGGCCTCAAGAAGAAAGGTCACTGCGACTACAAAGCATGACAGATACGCTGGCTGCCGTTTCCTGACTGGATCTTTGGGTTGCGTGGGTGCGAGGCCCATACGAAAGACATCTCTCTATTTCTTCCCTCTTCTTGCTTTAGGGAGTTCTTGAGCTGTCTCTTTCGGCACGTGCGCTATTGAAGGGGTGCAGTGCATCATATTGTTCGTTGGGCGGCTCATCTTTAACACGCGAAGGGTAAACAGTACTTCACAATCCTGCCACCGTTCCGCAAGTTCCTTGCTCAGAATAACAGGAGGAAGTTACTTGGAATGCTGTAAAAACTGCAAAACGTAATTCGCTTCCACGCAGTAGCTCTCGCTGACGTTCTGGGAAGCCAGGCGTCAGGCACTACGTTTGTTACTGTGGCAACAAGGTCAACATCACTAAAAAAAGCAACAATGGAGTTCCAGCTCCCCCTGCTCATGCGCTTCCAGCTTATTTCATTTGGGGCAGCCCTCCGACGTCACAGGCGACTGAAATGTGGTCAAATGTGCCCGCAGAAATTGGTTTGATGCTACGCACTTTTTCTTTTGTATTTTGTATTTTCGAAGTCGAATACCAGCAGACTGCATGCCGTTATGGCGGCCGCTATTGATGCATTAGTCTGTCGGTACTTCAGTCAACACAACCCACGAATAAAACATGGGGGGTTGAATAGCGTTGGAGGGCCCCTTTAACCATTATTATTTCAGGAACAGCAGCGTAATTTCTACGAGTCCTTTACAAAATATACATAATATCAGTACAGACACAGCTGTTGTTTAAGGCTGACGATTCGCACGTGGGGTCTGGAGATGCTCCGAAGTAGCTGGCATCGGTGATACGGGATTCGATTGGATTGGATAAACTTTTATTGGGTCCTCCAAAACACAGATCACTATGTCACGGGCTGCTCCCACGTGGGGACTGAGATGCCGAGCTCCTCAGCCACCTCGAGGGCAAGGGACTAACTATAGTAAGGGTGATCGTAGCCCTTTCTTACTAGAATGAAGCACAGCAAAGTAAATCTACTACTCTTCTTGTGCTTGAATTTTGCAGGTTTGCGCAATGGACAGAGTGGCATTATTCTTTATATTTTCAGAAAGATGCCGTGCAGATTTAGGCACTCATAACCTTTATTGTTGCGTACGTTGAGAGGAACGGGGGGGGGGGAGGAGGCAGGGCTGGTAGTGCGACTGATATGTGTTTTTGCGATGTTAACCTATGCGATGTCTGGGACTTCTAACTCCCGTGTGCTCAGATTCGAGCGCACGTTAAAAAACCCCAGGTTGTCGAAATTTCCGGAGCCCTCCACTACAGCATCTCTCATAATCATATGGTGGTTTTGGGATGTTAAACCCTACATATCAATCAATCAACTTCGCCTAACTCGGTGCTGAGTCCTGTGAAGCATTTCAGCCATCAAACACGATAGGAGTATTTAGATAGGCGACAAAAAAGTTCAAGACGTACAAAGGATACAGGACGTGGTGCTCACCCTTTTCTGTAATGCAGCACGATTGCGCGGGGACTGTCGACATCTTTCCAGACGAGCACATGTCTGTGCTTTCCATCCAGCTCGGATACTTCAATAAGGCTCCTGCCAGAGTCTGTCCAATAGAGCTTGCGGCCAATCGTGTCTACGGCGAGGCCTCCAAGCGTCTCCAAACCAAAAGAGACCACGTCCTTAACACGGCGGCCGTCTGTATCACAGCTTTCAATGACGTGGCGTTCGGCATCGGCATAGTAAATTTGTTCTGCGGGATTGGCAGGAAAAAGTTGTGCGAAAAATGTTTTAAAGAAGTGCAAATCAATAAAGAAGAGAAGCGAAACAATATCGTTGAAACAAATTCTGGTAAGCATTTTTTTTCTTTTGATCGCGTTAACAACAATGTAATGATCATCTACGTTGTGTCGTGTAGTGAACTTGTATTGGCATCTAGATTGCATTTTTACAGGGTAAGATTCTTAAAATCGAGGCTTGTCCGCGGACGTTGTTCGCCTTATCCGAGCACACGCAAGGTACCCACTATACGCCATGTTGATGACGCTGATGATGATGAAGGTGATGACGATGACGATTACGGGCGGCTGGTTTGTGCAGTGTACGCCGCTTCCATATGCTTGCGATGCACTTATTATGACTTGAAAACACCAACAAGCACCAGAGAAACGTGCACAGAATTCCTCGCCTTTAGCAACCTGCGGCTACATCCGATATCACTAAGCAGTAATAATGAAGGCAAAACGAAATGCACAACTCCACACATTTTACGATTTATGACCGATAAACATTGCATATAACTGTGCACAAATTGACACTCATTTACACGCGTGAGTGATCAATGTAGCGGGTAGTTTACGGTAACACCGATTGATCCTGCTCCTTCGCCCACTCATTATAATTTTTTGCGAAGATAACTAGTTGTACGAACAACAAGTTGAGTTCTATCTTTTATTGCGACAACTTCTTAACGAGTACTGACGTCTGGCTTCCTTAATAACAAGAAAAAAAATTCACGTAAATATTAAAATTAGCCTGAAATCAACGGTTCCAGATCCAGTTAATAGTTATGTTGAATACATGTGATGCCGGACCATAAGTTGTAATATAATAAGATCCTATAAACTATAAGAATAGCTAGTGAGTGCTAATTAGATTAGTTTACTGAAAAAGCTAGCTGAGAGTTTCGTACTGTACACCTAAAATTATTTCGGCACCTGACGGAGCGAAAGCGAAACATAGGTTTCTTTGTACATGGCGTCTCAGATAATTAGGCTTCGGCTTCATGGCAAAACATAGAATAACCCTAGGAATGCACCAGAGGACACAGGCGCCGTGCTGGAACTGTCACTGCTAGACTAGCTATTACTACAGTCCTAACGATGTGCTGGTTAAATGTTGACTATGTCCAAGAAACCGATGTAAAATGTCCAGTTACTTAGTTATATCTAGCAGTTTAAGCGGGACCTGATTGAGAATGCAACGATTCCAACTGCACGAACTGGTGTTTATCTCGTTCACGAGTACTCCAAGAAGCTACGAAATGAAGGAGTTGTAGACACAGCAGTACTAACCATCGGTAGTGTCGACGTCGACGGCGACGACGTTTAGTAGATTTCTGAGCGGAACAACAACATCTGCCCAGTAAGGCACGTCGAGAGACATTTTTCGTATTTCCGTTCTACGAGAGAAGATAAGGAAACGTCTCATTCCTGAAAGGACGGGGTGTGCAGTCAGAATGGGCGCAGAAAAACACACAAGGACATATGCAAGCACACAACTCACCATGAACACATATGTCTACGTAAAATGTTCTAATTATCCCATATATAACGCAGTTTTGATTATTTTGTATTGAGTTGGAACTACGAGCCGGGCGGAACACTAGTACGAGAAGTAGGGAGGATGAGCTCAGCCCTGTCCATATTTTTTGCTTTATCTAAAGGATGCAGTTAGTGGGAAGAATGCTTGTGGAAGCGGCTGTTTTTGTGCCTTAGCGTCATAAAGATCTTCAGTTGTTGGTGTGCGCTCGTAATGTCTACTTTTCCCCTAGTGTTCCGTTCTCTGATAAGTTTTTACTGAGTTCAAAATGACGTACTAACTGGCCTTCTAACGCAGTTTAGCTCATTACATATTTTTAATTTAGCAAGATGAGTTTTCATGCACCCCTGTCAATCGGGTCCTGACTTGGCACGTGTAAGACGCATTGAAAAGGCAGCAGAATTTTTTTTTGAAAACAAAATCTTTTGAAAATTACTATGCTCTCGTCACAGAGTCGTTCGACCGCAAAGAGAGTTCGTGTTTCTCCTCAAAGAGAGTCAAACTTGTGGCCAGTCAGCGCTATCCGAAAAGAGTATCATATGCGCTTTTTTTCTGGTATTTCATTGCCCTTATCTCGTATCTCAGCCGTAAATTAAAAGAAAGAGATGGGACCAGTCGTGAGAGGGCGCTCACCTCTTGAGCATGTTTTTGTGTCGTTGAGGAGTATCGTCCCAGTGGGACAGGCACAGAGAAAGCTCTTTGGCTTGGGCGCAAGAAGGCACAAGTGGCTGCAGCCGCCATTATTCGACGAGCATGCATTTGGTACTGAAAAAAAGAAAAGACGAAAGCCACGAGGAACAATATTGACCACTGACTTGAGTCGGGGAACAAACGCGGGCTATGGTCGCGTTAGTCGCAATACAGAGGAAGGAAGGAGCAGGCGAATTGAATCTGGCAAGAAGGCGAGATAACTGCTTTTCATTGAGCGTGACAAACATGATCCTAAGAAAAGAGAAGAGCACGAGCAAAAGGTAGGAAGATAGGTGGGCAAGTAGGATTAAGTAGTGTGCGGGTAAAAAGTTTGACCATAGAAAGTACAGGATTGGGTAGATTCATAGAACATGTCTTTGCCCTTCAGTAGGCTGATGATGAGCACGGTTCGTTCATAGTATTGGTGACACAAATTGGCAAACTACCAGCTGCATAACGTTGTCGTTCAGTGAGCACAGAGCAGTCGGAAGAACAAAGTAAAGCAAGGTAAGTGCGTCGATGATGGTCATTAGATATCGAGCTGTACGGGAGGTTAGAGGGATGCAAAGAACACGTAACTGGAATGAACATTACAAAAAAGAAAGACACTAAATTCAATTTGTGCACGAATAGGTAGCATTTTTCACACCTGTAGGTCTGTTGCGATGAAAGACAAGTATGTTGCGAAGGCCATCGCGGCCCGGTAGGACGGTTCTTCTGTTTTCACCTGTCGCCGCGTCGGCTGACAGTATGGCTTTCTTTTCCCAGTCCGTCCAGTAGACGCGACCGTCAAATACCGTAAGCCCAAACGGGTGAGGAAGGTCTTGAGACATCAGCACCTGTGCGAGGACGAGGAGTCGTCGTGTATTACTGCAGCTTCACGTTAATTGATAGGATACGAGGAAGAAAGCAGGTGAGGTTCGGTATCGTTGTCTGGTTCCACTTCAAAGGGGAAAAAAAGCAGAAAAGAAGATAGCAGTGGTGTGTCGAATACCACCAAAGGGGCAAATACATAAGCGATGGGATAAGTACCGAATATGGCTTCTCGTAATACGAGAATGAAACGTTTTTTCTCAACCTTCCTTGCTACGCATTGCTTCTTTACCTAGTGAACACGGACATTAACGTTCCGCTTCCTTAATTGTATAGGTTTCACAAACTGTTGAAGGCGCACCTTTCTCTTCATGGTGGGAATGTGGATGAGCTCTATAGTTTTGGTGGCGCCATCGGTCCAGTACAGCGTCTCGCTGGAGTAATCGATCGCCAAAGCGTTGGGCCAAGTCAGATTGTGTTGCACAATGACAGATCTCTGGTGGCCGGCCATGCTTGCACGCTCAATCTTGGGTAGGTCGCCCAGATCCGTCCAATACATGTAGCTGGAAATGTAGAAAAGTTTTGAAGATACCGTTAGCTAACACGGCACTGGTTAACACAGCAAGGCCAAATGCGAACAAAGTAGCCTGCATCCTGGTGCTACAATATTGAATAAATGACGTCAGAGCACTGATTGGTGGGGATTGCCACACACACGCTTGTTTCAAGTTGTCATGCGTTGTGTAAGCTCATAAAATCTGAAATGTGACAACTTAAGGACGTCGTCTTACAACAGCAGCTACTACTACTACTACTACTACTACTACTAGTAATAGTACTACTACATTTATAATAAAGGTGAAAAACGCCGAGGAAATGCTTCAAGTATTTTACGCAACGTTCACGAAAACCACTACTGATTTTAGTACTTATGAATATAATACTTTCAGGCGTTTTATCTAACATTACATGATGTAAGTATAAAGGACGCCTAGTGGCGTGAACTAGGAATTCCGGCCACCTGGGGTTCCTTAACGTGCACATAAGTCTAATATGTACCTCAAAAATACATGTGCCTCTACGTGGGCTTCCGCCTCTGTTGAAATGCAGCCGCCGCGGACGGAATCAAACCCATGTCAGTATTGAAGTACCGGAATGTATGCGTTGAATACCATAGAAGTCTCTGATGTATTTTTGCGAGGGGGTAGAAAACAAGCACTTGCATTCTTTAACTATACCAAGTGAAGTAATAGCTCCGAAAAAAATACGCTTCACACATAACGAACATTTTCCACTCCACTCCATGCTGCTGTCAGTAGTCAATTACCCCATTATAGCGCTGTTGAATGATGGTTTCAAAATGTAAGCCGCGGATTTACCAAGCTTACCCTCGAATCGGGTCAACAACAATTCCCCGGGGTTTGTCTAAGCCGTCATAGATGAGCACTGCCCGGTGGCTACCATCCAGGTTGGCCACTTCAATACGGTCGTTCGCCGCATCCGTCCAGTATAACTTGCAGTTGACCCAATCCAAGGCAAGGCCAGCCACGCTTTCCGCATTTGTGCCGACAACAACCTGCACCACGATCGATACCAGACGCATATAAATTAATGAAATTCGCAAAGGTAGACTAGCAGGCGAAATCGGTTGTTTAAGCTTCCCACGTCGGGAACACGTAGTTTGCGTGGCAAATATGCAGTATAAAGTCAGCACGTACATTTAGTGTTTCCAGCAAGCAGTAACTTTATTATTTCAAGCTAGCGACCACAGTAACTGCCAGTCCAACGCGTTTTTGTTTCAGCTACTGTTGAGTACGGGAAAGATCGTTTATCACATAGTTCATACATACTCGATAAGCTTATACACCCCTAACGTCGAGAATACAGTTACTCTATTTCCTTGCTCCCAGTCGTTTCATGCATATCCCGCTCTTTTTTTAAACAAATTTTGCACACTTCTGCAAAAATGCTCTCGATATATTCAGAAATGCGCGAGTCGTATACTTGCGTCGATATTCGGTGGCCTGGATTTTGGTATTAGGCGAAGAAATGTGCTCCCGTAACCCTAAAAAGTATTTATTTATGCACGTTTTTTGTTCTGAAACATAATATATGAACGTTATACAAGATGTACAAATAACGTTTAATGCACAAATAAGCGGCCAACACAAGTGTCATTGCAGCTTCCATTCAGATTTAAAAAAGCCTGCCAAAAACAGATGAATCATATTTAATTGAAGAGGGCTCTTTCCACCCTACTTGAAGTTTGACCGTCAGATTAAAAATGACCGTCGTTACGTAGGTAATACAGGCGGTGCTTGTTTCTTTCCCTTGAGAAGGACCAAATCCAAAAACCAGAGCTCTTCCATATTTTGCAAGAGCATGAACCGCACCTACCTCTCATTTTTAAAACAATGGCAACGAAAATGGGGGTAATTTCGAGTGTAACGGGAAATGAAATTGTTGACTTTAAATGAAGAATAAGTGAAATTTTGGACCGGTTTGAGTGAAATGAAACAATGTCTACTAGCCCAATGCTGCGTGAATATTCGTGAACAAAACAACCAACGTAGCTTCATACAATATGTTTCTACATATGTGTGAGTATCTTTTCTATGGCGCTTTTGTTCCACAAATCGTTTTCGTTCGAAACGTTCGCACTTATTGAAGGACGTAATAATGTAGGGCAAAACGCTCGTGCTGCAAAAGACGGCACCATCGAAAGCACTAATATAGTGTTAATTTTCTCTCAATATACTACCATATCGTGCCTTACCTACGATCTTGACATCTGTTACGAGCTGATTCAAACTAAAATCACATATTCCAATCTACAAGAGCCAAGTCCAAATTTTACTCATTACTGACGATTGTGGGCTTTATTGATTTTAGTAACAATAGAGATTTGAGGTATTTTGCTGACATGAACATCACTGGCGAAAATTGTTGGAGCAGGCATGACCGATAGCATAAGACTACGTTTTTCTCAGTTGAACTGAAAGTAGAATTGCCTCTTCAAAAAACAAAAAAAGTGGTTGATCTATCCATCTAGGAATGATTATAACACGAAAGTAGAACGATAACCTCGACGCTTTTGACTTGATGGTCGGTGCAACGTCGACATCTCGACTACTAATGGCAATGATCAATCACTAAAAAAACAAATAAAAAAAGAACTTCAGTGCGCTTGAGCTTCACCTTCAAGGGCAGATTCCGACAGTGCTATCGGGGCTTGTGCGTATTGCCTTCAGAACTGCTAGCCTTCTTTGGTTCTCGTCTCAATCGTGCCGTTAGGAAACGAACGACCTGCAGAACATGTGCTAATGTCGCCGTTTCGCGGCATGTTAAAGATTGATTGGACACCACGGCCGAGCTAGAGAGAAATGCAACGCACGTCATGTCTCCCTGTAGCACTGTCGACATCTTCGTCAGGATACGGGTAAACGCATTGTCAAAGCCAGGCGATTGCAGGCGTGCGTCGTAGACCCATTTTCGGTTGGGATGGATGTTTCGAGAGATGCCCACGCTCGGGCTAAACTATAGCCACCTCGTGGTGTGTTTAGGCCTCGCAAATTAGCACTTCTCTTTTCGAAAGCTCACCAAATGAGACGCGCGCGTAATAATACACGTTGCAGGTGCTAATCACGGAGGCTAAAGTAATCATGAATTGGTCCGTCCACCAAGTGCAGAAACGCGTCCACCAAGTGCAGAAATGCAGGAAAAGCGGAGATATAATATTCGCTTTTGTATAGGTTCTAGAGTCTGCGACCATGATGCAGTGGATAGCATGCCCGACATCTGTTCTGAACAAAATGGTTGGAGGTTTGGTACCCGTTTACGCAGCTTTCTTTCTTTGCCATATTATCGCGCACATTTATGACATCATTTCCGTGATGCAAATACATCACTAAAGTCTTCGCACACCCTGGCTTGAAACACTTTTATGTTAAAAAACGCCGCATATACCGGAGTGCTTATATTGTGCAGCACTCTAGATGATACTTTAATGCATATGTACACGATACAATGTGATGAAAGTGCTAAATATTTCAATGTGGTCAAATTCTGAGATGCTGTTGAATAGATCATTGATGTCTTTGTGAGGCAAGCAGTATCGAGGAACGTTGCAAGAGTTTTACCAACATTGAAATCCTGTAGCAAGAAAATAAGTAAGTAAAGGTGAATCAAAAAAGCTATTTCACAATGTACATGCGTACTGAAAAAGCTATATTAGATGTCAAGGTATTCCGTTGTCGCTAGTAACCCAATCGGATGCTTGCAAAATGCAAGAACAGTTAATTTACAGTCTCATTGCTTCATCATTGACAGTTAAATCACAAATGCATGATACAATCAGACGAAAAGAAACAGCCGTTGGCAAAGATCAGTGAAAGTAAGATTGCACACAGTTATTGCGGCATGATTATGAGTTTGAAACCTTCCAAGTATGCGTGGTGAACTCTGCTATATATGTCTGTGCACCCATTAGTTGTCCTTTCTGTCCCGCTTGATTCTTTACCTTTCTTCCCCCTTCCACCCCCGTGTGCGGTAGCAAACCTAGTGCAATATTTCCAAGCTTCCCGCATTTCTTTCGACTTTCTCTTGTTATGAGTATAGCTAATATTATTATGTGAACCACGGAAGGCACAGACCTCTTGACCATCGCCATTCCACTTTGACTTCAAGATAGAGTGGTGCGTGACGTCAGTCCAGAATATCATGTCCGTAGCGGCATCCCAGTCGAGATCAACGGCGCTGATTGCACTTCGTAGCGGTATCGTGACGTCAACGTCATCAGTGCAGTTTAGGCACAGCCGACGAATGTCACCACGGTGAGCGAAAAGCAGGAACGAGTCCGGTTCTGCGTTGAAATGAAAGTGCGTAGGAATCATGGAAATTAGGCCTTTGTGGGGTGATTCTGTAGTATCAGGATGACCTTGTTCTATGCTCGTCGACCATTTTACGTATGTACGCGATAACAGTCCCCGCATATCAGGCCAGATTTAGAACAATCAACTTTGCGTCGTAAAGATTGAGTGATCAAGCAGGTAATTCAATTACGAAGAGATGATTGCGAAGGCTAAACTGGTTGTAAGAAGTCCAAATAGCGTCATGACAGACTCGGATACAGCCGCTGCTGCGTTAAGTTGCCGAGTTGCTTGTCACATAAAACGAGCGATTGGTTGCGGGGACATCCTAGACTTGCACTGAATTGTTGATCTAGCAGTTTGATTGAATGTTCTTAGAAAGGCAGTTTCAGTTTCACGTATAGGCAATCAATTAAAAAAAATAGAGGAAAAGCATTTCGCGAAACTAGTGCTTGTGGAGTTTGACCGTCATTTTCTGGCTTGGTAAGCTTTAATAACATTAAAACGTCTAGCTGAAACCATTTCGCACCAGTTATTCGCTCAGTCGCTCAGAATGCTGCGGATTATGATGGCAGAATTCGTAAATATTCATGCTACTGCTAGTACTGCTGCTTCTACTACTACTACTACTACTACTACTTATTATTAATATTATTATTATTATTATATTATTATTATTATTATTATTATTATTATTATTATTATTATTATTATTATTATTATTGAAGGTCATTCGTTTAAATAGCTTTAGCTAAATTCTGTCATTACATGAGTGGTAGAACATCCAATGAATTTATACTTCTTAAATTTCACCGACATTTCTTTCACTTTTTCTGAGCTGGCGAGACATCCGAGAGAAGATGAAAATATGTAAAAAGGACAATGTGTCGTTTTTACGTAAGTAGCAAACTTCTCACTTTCGATGCACGTGAGACCGTCAGCCTGCAGATGCAAGCCACTCGGGCAGGCACAGGAAGCGGTCTCGTTGTTGGAAACACACAAGTGGCTGCACTTGATGTCGGTGGATGTGCAAGGGTTAGATCCTGTGTTCGTAAGAGATGCACGAGGTTTGTCGTTATCAGTATAGGAGTCTTATCGAACACGTGGCACATAACACCATCGACATAAATACCGAGATTACAGCGACTACATGGAACGCCTAATGAAAACGTAGCTATAGGATGCCAGGGAAACCTCGAGATTAGTGTTAGCAGTGCTGTTTTCAGTAAACAATTTTTTTTTAATTTGCAAGAGCAATGCGTGACGTTCTTGTTTCTTTTTTAAGTGTTCACGGTGCCGCGTTTACTACTCATAAAAGTTTTGAAATAAATCTAACATGAAATTGATGGTTCTGAGTCGGGTTACGACTTGTAATAAATACATATGTGTAAGGAATGGACACAAAAGTGCTGTGTTTAGGTACGATTTGTGGCTAAAAGGACTTGCAAGCGCCGAGGAACGCCAAACCGAAACTAAAGAAGACGAGCGGAGGGCAGGTGGCACGAAGGCGATAACAAGAAATGAAAAAGAAGAGGAGAAGAAGAAGGAACGTGGAAAAGCGAGCTCGAGCGTGGAGGCCACGAAGGCAGACGAAGCAGTGCGCCACTCGAGAGGACGAGTTACTGGGAGCGTTCCTGAGCCGGACGTGGGACCCGTACGTGTCGGCCAGGTCGAGCTCCGGCGTGTTCGTTCGGGGTCGAGTCCGCCGGCCTGTTCAAGGTGCAAGGACGGGGCCTGCTGAACGGCTTCTGCCTGGGTGCAGTGGCCGGGAGCAGGTTCGTGGGCGAGGCCTACCGGGCGTGGTCCTCGTGAGCCGGGGCCTGACCCTGAACCTCAGGAGTTCTGCTGGCCGCGACGTCTGACTAAACGGCGCTGCACACGGTAGCGCATCCGTGTGCCGTAAGCCGTTCCAGCCGCTCCAGCCGTGCCACCTTTGCCCTCGCGCACGTCGACAATCGCATCATGTAGGGACGACGGGGACCCAAACTGTGAGGCAGCGTTTTCCTTTTGCGAACTGAGAACTCTACGCGCTGGACTCGGAGTAAGCGTAGCCGCGAGCTCTCCGCATGCTAGAGGTCTGACTCTCATACATGTTGCGTGACGCTTGGCGTGTAGGGTTGGACATATAGTTTTATTTTCACCTGCCACTTCGTTCTCTAGTGTATAATATAACGCTTCTTTTGTTCGCATCCATTGTTGATGTGAATCCTTTCTCGTCCGCTGTCAACAAACACAGTGACGAACGTCCTTAACCATCACAATTTCTGGCGTCCGCGAGACAGGACTAAGCTCTCGCGTTAGATCTGAGAGCCTCACGTTGTTTGTGTGTGGCGGACGAGGATGGACGATAAGAGAAAGCTAGTTGAGCTAGGGAAGGAGATGGGGCTGAGCGGTGAGGCTTTGCTGGCATGGGTGAGCGCTGAGGAAAAAGAAATGAGGGACCAGAGAGCGAAAGATCGAGAGGAGGCACGGCTAGCAGCACAGGTGGAGCATGAGCGTGAAATAGCTCGCATGGAGGCTGAAAGGCTCCTGCTCGAGGAGCGACGTCGTGTCGCAGAAGCGCAGCGGCCGAGCACGAGTTCTGCGGATGATAGTATGGGTGGTGGTCAGAGTTTTCGCAGCCCACACAAAATGATTCCGCCCTACAATGAGAGTAGGGACGAACTGGATGCGTACATCCAGAGATTTGAGAGGGTTGCCATGAGCCAAGGCTGGCCAACCGACAAGTGGGCCCTGTCACTGAGCTTGTGTCTAACGGGAGAAGCCTTGACCGTAGTAGGACGGATGTCTGCAGAAGACTCTACGGACTACGCAAAGCTCAAGCAGACGCTCCTCCAGCGGTTCCGTTATACAGAGGAGGGATACCGCACGAAGTTTAGGGATGCCCGGCCCGAGAATACTGAGACAGGTCGACAGTTCGCGGGACGTCTCTGTGGATACTTCGACCATTGGCAGGAGCTGGCGAAGACTCCCAAAACATATGATGCACTGCGAGACAAGATGGTGTCCGAGCAATTCCTCAGGCGGTGCGACGAGAAGTTGGCTGTCTTCTTGAAGGAGCGAGGATGTCATAACCTGGACACGTTGGCAACGACGGCTGATCAATATTTGGAAGCTCAGGGAATTGTGAATCTCGCTAGAGGAAAAGACGAAAAAGGGAAAGCGATGGCTACAGCTAAAGTTAACACTGTCAGCGAAAGCAAAGGAAAACCGCTTTGTTTTCTGTGCAACAAGCCGGGTCATCGAGCTTCCGATTGCTGGACAAAGTCTCGAGCGCCCAAGTCGACGTCGTGCTGGATCTGTAAGAAGTCAGGGCACAGATCCGATAGTTGTCCCTCAAACTCGGGAAAACGTAGAGAGGCATCATGTTCCGTCTTGGGATACCAGAAAGCGCAGCATGAGAAATTAATGGAAGATGCGCCTGACAATCAGGATGAGAAACATTGTCATGACATGTGTGATGGGACCCAAAGCAGCGCAACTTGCGACAACGGGTCAAAACAAATGCCAACTGTAAAGGGCTATCTCGAAGGGAAGCGGGTTACCGTATTGCGGGATACCGGTTGCAATACAGTAGTGGTGAAACGATCGCTAGTTCCTGACTGCAACTTGACTGGCAACACCCGTACCGTTCGCTTATTGGACCGATCTGCAAAAGTCTTACCAGAAGCAGAGGTGTACATAGATTCTCCGTTTTTCAGAGGTCAGGTGCTTGCTGTTTGTATGGAGAATCCATTGTATGAAGTCGTGCTTGGCAACATTGCGGGTGTACTGTCAGCTGCCCGACCAGCCCCGAAGCAGCCAGCAGGACGTCCAAAACTAGCACAGATTCACCGTGATCCAGTATGCACTGAAGAAGAACCTGAAGATGCAACCTCATCAGATAGAAGACGACAAGATGACATGACGGCAGCTGCAGGAAAAGAAAGGAAAAAGCCCAGTGAACTGATTGTTCCTCGGATCCAACCCCTGGATATCAGCCGGGAAGCGCTAAAGAATTTACAGCACACAGATCCCACGCTGAAAACCTGCTTCGCCGCATTGGGAAAGACCATATCTAAGAAGCCAGCAGTCACTGAGTTTGTGCTGGTACGCGACATTCTTTTCCGGCGCCACCGCACGGCAGAAAGGCGAGACTTGGAGCAACTTGTAGTACCCAAGGATCTTCGAAACACCGTAATGAAGATGGCTCATGAAGGCCTTCTGTCTGGTCACCAAGGGCAAAGAAGGACAACAGACCGTGTCCTTACAGAGTTTTATTGGCCGGGTGTACGGGCTGATGTGATACGGTTCGTGAAGTCGTGCGACGTATGTCAGAGGACCGTGCCTAAACACCTCGTCGGACGAGTTCCATTGGGAAATATGCCTATCATAGACACACCTTTTCAGCGGGTCGCCATCGATATTATTGGCCCGCTGTCACCAACGTCATCCAAGGGCAACAAGTATGTCTTAACGATGGTAGACTTCGCTACGCGTTACCCGGATGCGGTGGCACTACCGAGCATCGAGACAGAGCGCATAGCGGAAGCACTAGTAGAGATGTTCTCCCGCGTTGGAGTGCCCCGTGAGATAGTGAGCGACCGTGGAAAGTCGTTCACCTCGAGTCTCATGCAAGAACTCGGTCGGCTACTTTCATTTCGTCAGCTACCCACAACGCCTTATCACCCCATGGCCAACGGACTTGTGGAGAGATTTAATGGCACTCTCAAACAAATGGTTCGCCGCATGTGTCAAGAACGGCCGCAACATTGGGACAGATACTTGGCTCCCCTGCTTTTTGCATACCGTGAAGTTCCCCAGACGAGCCTTGGATTCGCGCCGTTCGATCTCCTCTACGGCAGATTTGTACACGGCCCAATGTCGATTCTTAAGGAACTGTGGACAGGGACCAACATTGATCCTGAAACGAAAACAACATACGAGTATGTTATAGATCTCCAGGAGCGACTGCAAGACACCTGCAAGGTAGCGCACGAAGAACTCCTGAAGGCGAAAATGACACAGAAGAAATATTACGATAGGAAAGCAAGAGTTCGACACCTATCACCCGGCGACAAAGTATTGCTGTTGCTACCATCAGATAAGAATAAATTGTTCTTGACATGGAAGGGACCCTTCGCAGTGCTTGAGAAACGCAGTGACTATGACTACGAGATAGATCTCGGAACTCGGAGAAGTCTTTTTCACATTAACCTTCTCAAGAAATACCACGAAAGGGAGCCTTTTAATGCAGCGTCACGACGGCATGTTGCATCCAGTAGCCTACGCAAGCCGTAAACTGCTCGAACGGGAGTCACGGTACACAACAATCGAAAGAGAGGCGCTGGCTCTTGTGTGGGCTATCCAAAAGTTTCATGTGTACCTCTTCGGAAACCGATTCGTGCTGCAAACTGACCACCAGCCTCTTGCTTACATAACTTCCGCAAAACACATCAACAGTCGAATACTCCGCTGGAGCCTATTGCTTACTGAGTATGACTTTGTGGTTGAGTACATTAAGGGCTCCGACAACGTAGGTGCCGACTACCTCAGCCGCATTTGACTTCTCCGCTGGTTAGCGTTTACTGGTGGCACAATTTCTTTTCATGTCAATTCACCCTTTCCCTAACAGAATGAACTTCTGTAAATAATGTTTTTTTTTGCTATGTTTTCGCTTTTGGGTACTCCACCTCGCGCGCTTGTGAAAAGTTGTTTTCCCCCTAAACAACTTTCTTGAGCAGGGGGATATTTGTAAGGAATGGACACAAAAGTGCTGTGTTTAGGTACGATTTGTGGCTAAAAGGACTTGCAAGCGCCGAGGAACGCCAAACCGAAACTAAAGAAGACGAGCGGAGGGCAGGTGGCACGAAGGCGATAACAAGAAATGAAAAAGAAGAGGAGAAGAAGAAGGAACGTGGAAAAGCGAGCTCGAGCGTGGAGGCCACGAAGGCAGACGAAGCAGTGCGCCGCTCGAGCTGGACGAGTTCCTGGGAGCGTTCCTGAGCCGGACGTGGGACCCGTACGTGTCGGCCAGGTCGAGCTCCGGCGTGTTCGTTCGGGGTCGAGTCCGCCGGCCTGTTCAAGGTGCAAGGACGGGGCCTGCTGAACGGTTCCTGCCTGGGTGCAGTGGCCGGGAGCAGGTTCGTGGCGAGGCCTACCGGGCGTGGTCCTCGTGAGCCGGGGCCTGACCCTGAACCTCAGGAGTTGCGACCCTGACTGCTGGCCGCGACGTCTGACTAAACGGCGCTGCACACGGTAGCGCATCCGTGTGCCGTAAGCCGTTCCAGCCGCTCCAGCCGTGCCACCTTTGCCCTCGCGCACGTCGACAATCGCATCATGTAGGGACGACGGGGACCCAAACTGTGAGGCAGCGTTTTCCTTTTGCGAACTGAGAACTCTACGCGCTGGACTCGGAGTAAGCGTAGCCGCGAGCTCTCCGCATGCTAGAGGTCTGACTCTCATACATGTTGCGTGACGCTTGGCGTGTAGGGTTGGACATATAGTTTTATTTTCACCTGCCACTTCGTTCTCTAGTGTATAATATAACGCTTCTTTTGTTCGCATCCATTGTTGATGTGAATCCTTTCTCGTCCGCTGTCAACAAACACAGTGACGAACGTCCTTAACCATCACAATATGATATAGATTGAGGACCTTTCTTAAAATAGGCTGGTTACGGTTGAAGCAGCTGAGCAGTGCCGTGTTTATAGTGCTCAGCTGCTGCAGCCGTACGATGCTTGTCGATTTAGGTCGCGGTGGTGACATTTGACTAAGGAGCAAAACTTCTGGTCTATGGAGTCGGTGGCGTAGTGCAAGTAAAGTTTTGCCATTTCATTGGGACTGTAAAAAAAATGGCCCCCTATCTGCAGGTCTCACTGCAATTTCGTCGAAAGACGATAGTTTTGCGTGTGGAGAGAGTGAACAAAACGTTTATTTGATGTTATACTCGGGAAAATTGGTGAATTATATTCTTCAAGCGCTGCGTTAGAGAGTCTCGATCCGTGCAGCGAAGGCGAACGAGCCATCGAGGCACGGTAGACACGAGCGCTATTTGGCAGTTATCTTCGAAAACGAAGGAAGGCGTGCGCGCCCACGGAGAAAGATGCGTGCCTGTCTCGGAGGCGATAAGGTGTAGAACGCAAAGCGACGGGCAGGTGCCACCACTGTGTTGTCTTAGCAAAACGTTGGAAACACTTGCGTTCTTGGGCATCACGTTGCACTGTCAGCGCAGCGTGATAAACACTACGGTCCTTAGAATTGTGTGTGCCTTCTCTAGTATAAAGCCACACATATACAATATTGACGTGTTGTTGTAGTGCCACAGATACGCGCAATAAATGATTATTAATTGACAATCACACAAGTATGAACGCTGAAACTTGAGCAATATTGGTGGGTGCTGTGGATGGGGTTGGCCGTTTTGGGGTATCGCCTGATGCCATTAGAGGTATCGTTAAGCGGACAAACAGACAAATGTACAGACAGTCAGAAAAACGGACAGACAGAACAGATTTTTTCCATTCACAAATTTTCTGGTGCAGAAGATCAAATAAACGTTTTGCTCACTCTCTCCACACGCAAGACTATCGCCTTTCGACGACATGAAAGATGCAGATACGGGGCCATTTTTTTTATCCCTCTATCATTCCTTTCTACCGTTGCTTTCTTTCTACCATAACGCCTACCCCTCTTCAGGGTAGCGAACGAGATATTTAGTGTTTCGTTAACCTCTCTGCTTTTCAGCATCACAATATATTATTTGGGCGTAAAGACTCCTAAACTATTAATAATAAAATTATAAAACAAAGTCAGTGCAAAGTTAAGAATACTGCTTCAAATTGGTGGCATTAATCAGGTTTAGTGTATTCTTACCGTCCGGCTGGCGCAGACTCTGGACTACTTTAATGTCCATGGGGAAAGATAACTTTGGGTGGAAGATGGACGGTTCGTGTTGACCAAATTTCGAAGCAGTGTGAATGCTCTTCGTTTGCCAGTCAGTCCAGTAGAGCGTGTCCTCAAATATGGTCACAGCAAATGGGTGTGGCAGACCTGCAATAGAATCGAAATTGCGTTTGTACTGAGGGGTTGGGTTGGGGTCTAAAATTCCGATATTTTCTTGGTTGTGTTGTCCGGTATAAGGAGGAAATCCTCAGGCGATGAAATTTTTAACCGCCATGCCAACTAATGGCGCTTATTTATACTCCCACGTGTAAAGGCAAATCGGTATCCCATAAAGTGGATGGCGAAATGACTGCCGCTGCAGCTAAGTTGCTAGAGCATCGGATGCGCTATTCAAAGGTCGCGTGTTCGGTTCTTGCCAGTGGTATGTTATCTTCTCGTGCCTTTTTTTTCCTTCATTACATTAAAATTACTTGTAATATCCACTATGCTTTTCCTAGCGTCAGTGTCTATTAGTTCTCTCTGTTATTGTGTCTATCAAAAGGAAAACGATCCTTTAAATTTCCGCCTTGAAGCGATGAATTGAAGCAGGTGGTAACTATGTTTCTTTCGCTTTTACCTCAAGCTCTTCAGGACGATTACGCAAGTGTAAAACGCCGTACGGCTACTCTTTTTTATAAGACATTCTTCATACATCGAAGCAACCTCAAGCCGGTCGCTTCGAAATTTTCATCACGCAGTTCTACTGAACACCGACTGCAAAAAAAACGAGAAACACACACCTTGCCCTCATTAGATAACTAGCTTCCTCACTAGAGCAGAATACCGCTTTATTTTATTACAATTGACTAATCTTTTGACAGACTTGTGACATAGTCATTGTGCAATTTGGGAGTTTGATACTTCGAACACCTTATTATTTGAAGTTGTTTCCGGTGACCACTGTTGGCCATACCTTACTTTCGTAGTTTTAGGTAACTATACACTTCTCAACAAAACAGCGTTATTCAGACAAGGCGCAATTCCAACTTGTTTGTGACTGCACTATAAACAAAAATGCCGCTTACTCTGTCCCGCCTCACCTGTCTCATACAACTGGACAAACACAGTACATAGTACGCTGCTAGCAAACGAGCTATAAAGACGCCTTGGATATAGCAAAGTAATCCTAATTCACTTTAAATCATCCGTATAGGTACATATCTGTTCATGATCGTTCTGAAAGTCATACCAATTAATGCGTGTTTACTTGAGTTTATTTCAACAAATGTGGTACGAACTTCGGGTGATATGAAAAACATACGTATTTGTCAACGAAACATAAAATAATTGTAATGGTTTATGCAACGCTTCAAAAGTGCTGAATTCAAACCGTATTTTAACGAACTACAATGGTTGTACCAGTGGATGAAATTAACATAATTCGTATCTAAAACCTGCAAATCTATTTCGGTGACGACCGCTACGAACCCGACTGGCATCTCGTGAATCTAATCGTGACTGCAGAAGTTGCTTAAACGTCTGTGCAACCTAGGCAGCCACAAGCCAGCCAGGCCAAACTGGCACAACGTAAATAATTCGCCTGAACTTTATGTGCATCGTTCATAGAGCAGAGCGAGCTGAATAAGCGTCGAAGTCGGCTGATGGGTTGTCAGTCACGGGCTGCTTGTTCACGACTGAATTTCTTTTTCTTACTATTTCTTTCTAAACAGGCTACCGTTACACAGTACTATGAAATATTGATGAAATATTGAAGCGCCAATTGCAAGCGAGAGGCCATAGGAGTGAAACTGAAGGCAGATATTCCAAAACGCCACCCTGCAGAGGGCTATAAAAACATGCCTTGCTGACGCTGAAAATTCACCCAATATATTTAGTCACATTTCGTGACGTACACCTGTGAAGAAAAGTGTACGGACCATACAAGTACAAGGCGCCATTGCCTTCTACGCCATCGAGCTGCTAGCCTTCTGCTGTTGCGAGCATCGTTACAGCCAATGCGGCCTGAGCAATAATCTCAAGAGCAGTCGGCTTGCCGTTAGAGCGCGCTCGCTGTAACTTCAGCACACACTCCCGCGGTCCGTGTGTTTCGCTCTAGGGCGTATGTGGCAGCATAGCCCAAGTGTGGCCCCAACGCCATCTTCTCTTTTGCACGTGTTACCTTGCGCACACGTGTAGATATATATTCTAGTAAAGCGCCAAGTTATATGCGAAATAACGTCAACAACGAAATACTATTCATTGCCTTTCACTCTTGATTGATTGATTCATATGTGGGGTTTAACGTCCCACAACCACCATATGATTATGAGAGACGCCGTAGTGAAGGGCTCCGGAAATTTCGACCACCTGGGGTTCTTTAACGTGCACCCAAATCTGAGCACACGAGCCTACAACATTTCCGCCTCCATCGGAAATGCAGCCGCCGCAGCCGGGATTTGAACCCGCGACCTGCGGGTCAGTAGCCGCGTACCTTAGCCACTAGACCACCGCGGCGGGGCCCTTTCACTGTTGTAATAACAATATTTAGCTGCAGTGCAGCATTCTGAATCATATGTAAAAACGCCCCGTACCAGCTTCGATGACCTTCTTGCGGTTGGCCCCATCCAAGTCGGCGCTCTCGATCTGATGGTGCTTGGCATCGGCCCAAAAGATGCGGTCACTGCCGTAGTCGATCGTCAGCCCATTAGGCCAGAACAGCGACGTGTCTGCGATGGCGCGCCGACCCGATCCATCCGTGTAGATGCGCTCGATCCGTGGTCGTGCGCCCCAGTCAGTCCAGAACACGCTCCTGGAAGCAATTGTCATATAAGTTTGAATTCATTGGGTTGAATTAGCGCAATAAGTATTCTATAGCCTTCATGAAACGCGATTTCAATACAAGAAACTTTGACGTCCCAGTTTTAAAAGGTGAAGGTGGCAGGTGGGGCGGCTAGCTCTATAGGCAGCAAGTTGTCTTTTACAGCGCAGGCTGTTACGAGATCAAATCTCGGGTCACGCGCTTCCCCGTAGTTGTCTGCCACCGCCGCCGGTGTCCCTAACCACATCGCACAAAATGAAAAAAAAAAACGTAGTACTAATGACCCAGTGGGGCTCAAACCAGGGTCCGCTGCGTGCCAGCCCAATATTCTACCCCTGAGCCGCGCCGTTACTTAAGACTTGTTGGCAAACTTGCCTTAGACAGGCTTGATATCGAATAAGGAATGATGTTATTATGACTTATAAAGCGTTTCAGAACAGCGAAAGAACCAGCAGTCGTCGCACAACGCGAATAGCGTAACGAGTGGGTCTTACAATGCTCCAACCCCTTACAAAAGCTTGTTTTTGGTCAACTATTAACTGTGGCGCATACCTACTTCAGGCATATTTTCTCATTGTCGTCAGCCACTGCATGAACAATTGGCATAAAATTCGATGCAAGTGTTTAGCGGATGCCAGGATTCTCAAAAGAATGACGAAAAATAGCATAGCAAATGCTGGCCTACTACCCAAAAATTTTTATTATTAATGTCATAGTGGGTATCAAGCAAGTGTGCTTGTAGAGTTTACCCAATCAGTGTTAGAAAAAACTCTGAAAGGCCGCTTTTGCTTTCGCTGAGACTGTGTTGCGCCTCCCGCGCAGGCCTGGCGTTTTTTACGGGCAAAGCTCCTTGTTTAGAACAAATTTATTTACAGCATGTACAGAACACAAAGGCTTCATACCATTCCAGTAACAGGGCATATACACCTCGGCACATCTATATTTCACGACTAACATCACTACGTTACAGTGAAGACATTTGCCCTAATATACATGACAATGTTGGCATATATGTACACAAGAACTCAATGCGATATCATGATACAATGGTATAACAACACAATAGCTCCTCATGGCGTGGCTTGGGCGTCCTTCGTAGGACGTAACCACCAGTGGCACATACCCGAAATAGGTATAACATTTGACCTCCAAGGTGCTGCCGGTGAGAGATTTCTTCTGTGCGTTGTTTAACGATAAAAAATAGTGCTCAATGTACATGCCAATGGCTGCTAATTGGGAATGAGAGACAGGAACATTCGGCTTTTAATCAACGCGCACGCTGCGATCCCCATTAGCAGCCATTGGCATGTACATTGAGCACTATCGGACAAGAAAGGGTTGCTATATTATACTCGCTGGGTGTAACCTCCTTAGTTTTAGAAAGGTTTAGCGAGCGTTGAGCCGCAAAGCCATGAATACAATGAACTAGTATATACCATGAATGAATTCGAGGTGGTTAAAGGGGGGAAGCAGATACGAAGCGCAAGCCGTAAGAAATTAAAAGCTGAATCCTCCTGTCTCTCATTTCACATTAGCAGCCACTGGCATGTACATTGAGCACTATCTGGCAGGAAAAGGTTGCTACGTTATACTTGCTGGGCGTAACCCCCTTGGTTTTAGAAAGGTTTAGCGAGCATTGGGCCGCAGTGCCATGAATACAGTGAACTAGTATATACCATGAACTCAAGGTGGTTGAAGGTGGGAAGTAGACGCGAAGCGCAAGCCGTAAGAAAGTGTGCGTGTGCCACCTCTCGTTTAGTCCTTAGAATGTCCACTGAATGGCGGTGCTTCTATATGGGGAATATATGATAAAAAGATGCGAGATGGCGGTACTTGGAGTGCTGAATTGATGGACGAACGGACACACAGACAGATGCATGGATGGACCAAGGAGTATTAAAAAAATTGCTGGAGTGGAAATGATTGCGCAAAAGTGAAGCCATTCCTCTGGCAAAATGGCGGTTGTGGCGGCCATCTTACTAGGGGCATGATAAAGTATCACCGATCAGCAATTAAAAACGAAGCGTTTCCCTCGCACGCACAACGAGTTTAATGTGGGAACTTTTTCGGGCCACATAGTGCTCCTAGTGCGTCTTAAAGTTACTAGTTTTCCATAGTAAGCCTCTAATTGGAGGCAAAGTTCATTGAAGATTCAGTCATCCTTGCTTGTTTCTGTGTGTTATTTCGTCGGGAACAACTATCCTTTAATATAGAACTAACGTACCATTTACATAACCTATAAAAGCCACTTGATCTTTAAGTGGGCACTATCAGAAAAGAGCAGGTTTCCGCCATCTTGGCAGTGGCAAAAAGTGGCTTCACTTCTGCTGGCAAGGCATTGCAGGAGCTTCCACTCCGGATATTTTTCTTAAATCCTCCTTGGGATGGACGCATGAACGGACGCAGGGGCGGATGCATGAACGAACGCAGGGGCGGGCGCACGAACAGACGCATGGACGGTCACACAGATGGACGCATGGACGGTCAAATACTTTGCCCCACTCTCCATCATTCACTCCGTGGATATGCTGCCATTTTTGTCTTGTTTTTTTTTTACGTTTATGTTGTAATTACTACATTTCAGTCAAAGGGTGCTATAAAGAATGACTAAAATTTGGCGAAGCTCCGGATATCCTAGCTCTAGCGACACCTTTTTTCTTTAACAAGCCAGCAATACGAAAGGTCAAATCAAAAGTTAGGGCATGCTGCGCTCCATTGGTTGCGATTGAACCCGGCCTTACGTCAAGGACGGTCTACAAAGATGGCAGTATTTTAAAAGCAGAGGAATGATCTTTCATTTGTTTGTCGTTTCACATAGTGCAGAAGTGAACCATGCAACAAAGGCATTAGAAACATTTGCTGATGATATTTTTACAGTTGAAACTTTTAATGTCTGTGCTAAATATCTTCTGAAATACTAAGGATGGCGTCTTTTGAGATCAGTTCTGGTCAAGTGACTTGGAACATCGCAAATATAGGTAAACAGAGGCCACATGTATAATCATCATTGTCAGCTTATACATTCTAGTGCGATGCTCGATAGTTGCGTGGCCTGTTCGTCTTGATTATGTGCAAGCTCACTGAACACGTACGGCCGGCTGATTAGTTAATTCGCTGGGCGGTATACTTGGCTCGTCGGTACAAAACGTGCTATGAGCAAGGTAATTAAGCCAAGTTACCAGAAGACCTAGGTAATTAAGGCACATCTGAATCGGATGTGTAAGTGAAACAAGGTATGTAAGTTAATAAGGTGTGTAATGTGAAGTAAAACCGTGCTAACGAAGATGATATCCACTAAGTGACAATAATTATCAACACAATATGTAAAGTCCTGCTAGTTACACCATACTGTCAAATATGTCCCAATTATAATTGAGCTAATTAGGAGTGCACTGCTATATAATAATGAAGACCTCGCTAAGTGCACCAAAAGTATCACTGTTCTAAATAAAACCTTAGCAATCAAGAAAAATTGATAACATTACAGTTTTAAGCTCTATTTAGTACAATCATATTATGATGATGATATGCGAGGTTTAACGTCCCAAAACCACCATATGATTATTAGAGACATCGCAGTGGAGGGCTCCGGAAATTTTGATCCATGGGATTTTTTAACGTGCACCTAAGTCTAAGTACAAGAGTTTAAAGCATTTTCGCCTCCATCGAAAATGCAGCCGCCGCAGCCGGGATTCGATCCCGCGACCTGCGGGTCAGCAGCCAAGTACCTTAGCCACTAGACCACTGCGGCCGGGCTATAAGCAATACTAAGGCATAGCTGATGTGGTCATCACTTCCAGTCAGACGGAGCAGATGGCTGTCTTTTCAGGTGGAAGAAGCTACGTGAATACAAGATGCTCTATGGCTTAAGCCTTGTACAAGTAGTGCAAGCTGAACAAATCATTTTATATGCAAAGCAGCAGCTGCTTAGCATCCAACGCATTAAATGCTTAACAGACACACCAGCACAACGAGAGTTTCGAGTTGAACTGGGGTCTTGGCAGGATAAACAAGTTTGTACCCGTGTTCACGCGTCGATCTGTTTGATTGACAGACGTCCGCGGCAAAGATCGGGTCCGCCCTCCACGTTTGCTCTTGCCAAGGAGCAGTATTCACTCTGCAACGCCAGCGAGCGGCACAATTAATCTATCAGATTTATCGCGCAGATTATGCACACCCGCAAAAAGAAGTAAAGTTATATCAAAACGTGGCTACGATGTCTCGCATTCCATTTCACTGCGCAACGAAGTACTACTCAGAGCTGCGTTGCCGCCTAGAGTTACTGTATATGCTACCTTTAGGTAGCAGAGTTGCGCCACTGTTTTGCGGGCGCCACTCGCTCTGCCCACAGGAGTTCAGCGCCTCTATTCGCCTAGCGCCATCACGTGGTCATATGTGGTTCAGTAGCACTGCGGAGAAGTCAACGCTACGCAGATTCCGGGCAGATCAAGTGGGGTTGACAACGGCTGTTGTCATTCTCGCCACGCTTCGTTGGTAATGTAGTCATGCTGCCTGTTGATCACGAGAAATGCGGTAGCAAGTTCATTCTGTGTTGAATTGTACTACGTAGAGCCCATGCGAATAAACGCCGGTGCAGCAGGTGTTGCTACAAAAGATTAGTGTTCACTCGGAAGGAATAAACGCTTGGCCATTGTCGTCGGCAGGATTTTCTTTTGGGGGTGCAAACCACTGTTGAATGACGACTTAAGAGCGAAATCACTAGTCTAGCTTGAGTGAGGGCAAGTGCTGTTGTGCTTTGAGGACAGCAAGGGCCCCTTTTCCACTTTTCTGCTGACGTTCATGCGCTTGGATTTTTTTTTAATCTGTCCACGGAACTGCAAAACTTGCTCTATTTGTATTAACCACAGATGCAGTTGTGAATGCGCTATACATCTCGAGTTGGGCAGTGTGTGTCAGCTGCATACGTCCAAATCAGTCTGGTGGTTAAAACGCTAAAAATAAAGAGAGAATTTAAACTAGAACTATTTGAATCGGCAAAGTGTTGCTGCTAGTGCGTGAATTGATTGCAGCTTTGAAACCTTAAGCGAAAAGAGTGTTGGACACGACAGTGTTGTTGAACGTTGAACGACAATTCACATTCATTGTTGTGAGCCGCGATTGTCACACGATCGTAATACGACATGGGCACTCAACGCGGGCGTCGCACGGCCACTCTCGATGGGTATCCAGCTCGATTCAGTTGAAGACTACAAAGCTTCAGCGGGTTAACTCACTCAGTTAACGAATGAGCCCAACGCGATGAAAATATTCCATCCCTGGCTCGATAGCGATCAAGAGTGAAAAATAATTTTATATATGTAAACAAGAAAGACAGTGCGAAAGAAGCCGAAGCTAATGTGTGGCCTACTATAAATATACATACGTACCACTGGTTAAATGATCTGACACCGCACGTTTTTTTATTATTACTTACCAACAACAAAAACATAAAATCGAGGCGTCCAGGCGTGACCAGAGCAACTGAGTTTGTCTCGTACCTCCATAGAAATACAAAGAACAGGAAGCAAAAAAAAAATAAAGCAACGCTATAAGCATGAGCGCTGCTCCTACGTGGGTGGTGAGTGGTTTTTCCGCAAGACATTTGAACCTAAGATGGCGTACTTTGGCGCAACTCTGCTACCTAAAGGTAGAATATGCAGTAACTCTATTGCCGCCATGATGCGAGCGCCCCTGGTGCCAACCTGTCCTTATATTTATCCGCAATATTTGATAGAATCGAAACAAGCTGCATGAGAGTGCTGCGTGTTTAATTCTAGAAATTTCTATGCTGCAGATGGAACAAAGGAACTTCCCTGAAGAAGACAAACGCCCACGAATGCGCGTGATAAAGGCGCGGTGTTGAGCTAACAAAAAAATGTCGCGAGAATCGAGCTGATGTTGCTGCTGTGTTGAAATGTTGAATGAGTGGCAGCGCTGACAAGTTTGCACCCGGTGTTTCTATGATAACTGCCTGCCGGAAATGTCCCACATGCGCTTTTGATACCACTTTCCTTCTAGTAGGCATTTCATAAACGCTGCTATAACACGTTCCGCACTCTTTTTATGCCGTAACCGCCGAAGTGCAAGCTCGGAGCAAACTCGTGTGCCCGAGAAGCTCGGGCTACCATGCATAGCACCTCGAAACCATAAATATAACGTCCGCATTGCCAGTTGGTTTTCATGAAGATTTTGCCAGCAAAGAAAGAAATCCTTAAGGTCCTTAACTTCAAAATAAAATAACTCGTGCTTTTATTTGCCTACACAGCCAGCGGCGTTTGTTTCAGTGCACACACATTTTGCGCTAACCACTCCAGTGAGTGGTTAGCGCAAAATCTGTGCGCTAACCACTCACTGGAGTGGTTAGCGCACAGATTTTCATAGCGCAAAATCTTATCATTTCACCAGTCACGGTGAAATGATAAGACTAACAATTATTATTGCAGGTGAACTGATTAGAGCTGTAAAAGAGGATAGGCTGCCAATATGGCTTCGATTCTGAGTTAAGAAAACGCTATTCCACTCACGAGTACTGCGGGTAGACAACGATGGCTCGCGGCTTGTCCAGGTCTTTCCAGACGAGCGCCCTTCTCTGGTGGCCATCCACGCCCACAGACTCGACGCGACCCATGCCCGAGTCAGTCCAGTAGACGCGCTCCATGAGCCAGTCCACGGCCAGTCCATCCGGGTTTCCCAGTCCACGCGAGACGACAGTTCGCACGCTATCGGCGGTGCAGTTACTCAGGCTGCACGCCTTGATGACGTCCACCGTAATGTCGGACCAGAAGAGTGTGTCCAGCGTCAGGTGGTAGTCCAGTGCCACGGCGTTCTGCAGCTTGGCGGCCACGGAGGTGTACTCAGACTTGTCCATCGTTATGCGACGGATGTCGGCCCCGTTGGCGAACACCACGTACGCCTCGGAACCTGCGTAAGCCGTACCGATACATGTGTAAAGTACTCAGTACTGACACTTGTGAATAAGCTGATGCGTTCAATTTCGAAAAATAAGATGAGGCGCTAAGTTTGTTCGGTCAAAAACAATATTGTAAAACAAAACAAATTTGTTTAGAATAGTGTGGTAATATGTTAGTTATGCACTAAATAAAGGTAAAACATTATACAAGTTTTAGCAGATGTATGTATGTATGTATGTATGTATGTATGTATACGGCCACTGGGACGTGCATGCGTACTTGTGTCTGTGCATGTCCACTCGGCTTAATGGATTTTTTAGTTTCCTGTAGTGATATACAGGCTGTGTTGAAAATAGTTTATTATACCACATTAATTTTGATCAACACCCGATACGTTCAAACACACGCACTTAGCAGTCGCTTAGCAACAGACTAACCTTGAGCCTTGCAGTGGCGCTTATCGTCCCGTAGCCTGTAGCCCTCCTTGCAAAGGCACTGGAAGCTTGGCACAGTGTTGACACACGCCTGGCTGCATGTACCTTCGTACGTGCACTCGTCTACATCTGCAGTTGTTTAGAGGAAAAAAAAAACGCTGAAAATGTTGCATCAGACCTATAATGCTCCACAACAGTCCCAAAAGTATTATATACGCAAAATAAAAAGCCATGCCTCAGCGGAGCCGCCAAGACTGCTCTCCTCTTATTCATTTTTACAACAAGGCTGTCTCAAGACGTATTAACACCTACGACTAGCAGCAGCCACGCAACCATTTCCAAATGTCGCACAAAAGCGACTGATGTTCCCACTAGCGTATGACTTATATAAGCGTCACCACAAAGAATACCCGTCCCCTCGTATGTAGCTGGTATTGCCAATGTCCCTTAAGTACAGCTGATGTCGTATTCCGGCGCACATGAACAGCTCAGAGCTTACAGAATGCAGTGGCGTGACTGGAAATTCAGCTGCCGCTGACTAGGAATATGACCATTTGCGACCAGCCGCTCTGCGACTAAGTTGCGCGACCATTGCTAGTCCTCGGTGTAAGCTTGCCTTTAGTTCTACTCTGTACCTTCGCCTTCATCATCGTTGTTAAAGTTGCAGTATCAGATGTCAATCTAGTCACGTAAGCAGGGGGGGGGTGAACAAAAAAAAAGAAAACAATATTAGGTTAGTTATGATAATGATGCAAAAATGACAATATGAAGGGTGCACGTGATCTTGTTAGTCAATTGCACACCATCAAGTGCTCTCAGCTTCGCTGTCCGTATGGTTTGATAGGCTGAAACTGGCTGGATTATCAAGGCGAAAGCCTTCATTTCTCGTCAAGCGCGAAAATAGGTGACCGGTAAATCAGGCAATCGCAAGTAACTGTGGGATACGTCGGCTTCAGGTTCGATGCACCACGCGGGTTAGCAGTGGCACATGCGCATTTTTATACCGTTCCATTGAAAAAAAGCACCTCTCCGTGCATTGTCAGCGCTTTAAAAGTTGTTTTTTTTTTCTTCTAACCGTGAGTGCGTCGATGGCCAGCTACAATAGCCATGAACGGTAAGGTAACTTTTTATTCCACCAAAATGATATGCAATGCTTTTATGCTGCTCGGGGTTACTGTCAGTTTGGCTGGCAGATCAGTTGATACAGAAGACAGTTTTCATTGTATGATACGTTACTGCAGATAAGAAATCACCATATTGGAGATCTGAGGGGAACGTAGCAGTGTGCTAAGAGCTAATTTCAGGACCCTGCTTCGGCCGACATAGTCAGTCGATCGGCATGAAGCGCAGCATTTATTGAGCACGTTGAGATATATCTTTTTCTAGCATTCAGCGCTCTATAGAATGTAGTCGAGGCCAGATGGTTATTTGAACGCTGATCTCGGTGAAGCTGCGCAGCACTGCGGCAAATAAAGATACAGTCAGACATAAACGGCGCTGAGAAATCGAAACCCTGCACTTCTTTAACGCAATTTTTCCTTTGTGTGCCATCCCAGCGCACAGTTTGACCAAGATAAACGCAAACAGACTCGTCCAGCGCTTCGTGTAAACTTACTGCAGAGTGCAGCTTTTGCGTTTTTTGTCATATGTGTTAAATAGCCGGCGCTCATCTCATATGGCAGGGAGATTTCGCCTGTGCGTTTCCGTAATATTTATGTTAAGCGCGCCTGCGCAACAATTTATTTCTCGATATAATATTCGCAGCATATTCATGCATAAGCTTTTTATTAGTGCGGAATACACACGTTCTTGTGATAAAATTTTCTTCGCAAACTCTGACTCCAACATTCGGTACCAAAAGGCTATATGTCGCTGTAGCTCTGTTCACAGGCGTGGCCCATCTCAATTTTCTTCCTTAGTTCCATAGGAGTCGATACATGCGTTTGCCTTTCAGGCTCGAGTTGGAGAAGCCAACGGCTGAACAACTGACCATGGTTTGGCAGGACGGAGATAGACGGCAACCACACGCGTGAATGCCGAATAATCTGAGGCTTACGACGGAGCGGTTCACCGTCGTCTGCTCTCCTCAAACTGGACGCCGGCAGCAGACGGTGCATCCCACAATTCCTCGCTCTTTTACTGGTCATCTATTGGCTGTCGGTGTCCCGTGGTTTCAGTGGCAACACGATTGATGTTAAGAATTCTATGACGTCAACCTATGACATCACCATGGCTGAGTTAAACCGCCTTAAACAAAAGAAAAAGAAACCAGGGAACCCGTACAACCCAAGGTACAACGGGTTCAAAACCATTAAAAAAATTAGTACAGAAGGGTAGGACACCCAAATCAATTTGGAATAAAAGCAATTTGTGATGCCCTTACGGCGTCATTTCTATGTCACCAAGAATCCATAAAGTAACGTCACACAAAGGCGTCATCACATGGCCTATTCATTTGGCTGGTCAAAAGGTGACCGATCACAGAGGCAGTGAAGATTCAGGTGAGGGGCAGAAACTTTTCGAACGGGGGCGGGCGGGAAACTGAGACGATGGCGAAAAAGAAGACGACGGTCGTCTTCGAGCCGTGTTATACTTGTTTCACGTGGAGGGACATTGAATCGATAGCATATCGACTCAACTATTTGATTGATATGTGGGGTTTAACGCCTAAAACCACCATACTGATTATGAGAGACGTCGTAGTGGAGGGCTCCGGAAATTTTATTGGTGAAAAAAAAGTTGGTGAAAAAAAAAAAGATGAAGTTGTGATAGCGTAAGTTACGCAAGTTTAACGTATGAACTTCTCGTAAGTGCTGTCACATGCTTATTATTACATTTAAAGAACAGATAGCCTTTTCCCCTCGTTATCTGTATTTACAACTATGCGAAAATGCTTTCTTTAGAACGAAATACATAATATGTGTGAGGTTAGTTGCCATAACATTCGCCAGTGTTCAGCTAAGTCATGCTGTCATGATAATGAATGTTGCGGCATCGTTCGCTCGGTGCACGGAGCACGAGATTATTGCGACGTAACCAAGAGACGCAATTCGTTAATCCGATTAGTAGATGTCTGTCAGCGTTCTCGGTTTTGTCTTTTTCTGCAGTCACCTGACGTTTACTATGTCCTCTCACAAAAATTAGCTTACCATGCCGCGCATCTCATGTGAGAACCCCTGCCTATGTCGGCCTTCTCAAAATCCTATTTATGGCTTTTGTGCTAATCATCTGCTCACATGTATAAGTGCTTGATACGGCATATCCCCGAGCTATATCTTCTTTACTTTTACAACAAAACAAACCAAACGACTGGAGACTATCGCCCGGGCGAGATTAGTTAGTCCCATTCGCTTATTAGTGCGCAGTTGTATGTAACGAAGTCTAGCTGGAAGTTAATGGGCAGTATGACGCCGGACATGCCGACTGGCCAACGTCGTAATTTAGCCTTGGAGCTTACCCTTCATTACCTTCATTGCAAAATCGTTAGACGACTCATGAAACACTAAAGGTGATAACTTCATCGTATGACATCGTCATGATGTTAAAATCAGTGGAGTTTGTAACGTCCTTAGAAATCACGTGGGTTGTCATGTTGTCACGTGTGTTGTCATGTGTGTTGTCATTTGCGGAAAGACTTTGGGGAGAAGGGCTCGATGCCGTCAAGTGAAAGTGATAAAAGGATGTATTTCGCCTCCGAGTAGGCTCAGGCAAGGGTATAGGGAGCTGCACGACTTGTTCTTTCCAACTATAAGAACACTCTAATTATCCTGAATGTCTTCATAGGAAAGGACTAAAAAACCCAACATTGTGCACTTCAATATAATGATCTGCTCTGCGGAAGGAGAAAAAAAATAATAGCAGCGCGGAGGATGATGAAGAAGATGATCGTTTCAAATGATATAAGCGAACAGTAGCATAATTGAAATCTGGAAGCAACTCCTGCGCCGCGTAATACTTGGAGCGAAGTTCGTGATTTGTTTTGAGTGACAATAGCGCGGGCCCAACGTTTTTCCGGGAGAAACCTCAATCAATGATCGCTTGTCATCCACAGATGGCTACAAATGGGCTCTCAGTGAACCGTACCACTAGGGAAGCCCAGGGCAGCCATTTCTCTGCTGCGTGCTCAAGCGGTGACAAAATGATCCCATTAACCACCATATCCTTGCGCACAGCTCCTTGGAAATATCGATTTGCTTCCTCACATTGCTTTTTTATGTTCAAGATTGAGCGGAACATCTTCCACTTAGTTCTACAGGCCTTACAGCAGGCCTTTCAGCGGGTACCATCGCTGCCTGCTATATTTGCTGCAGATATATCAATGTACAAAAGCTTCATAGCCTTCAAGTGTTGATTCCACGGAGGAAAGAAAACTAAGAGAAGTCCCTGACGTCACGTTCGTGAAGCCTCCACATCGCAAACAGCCGCTTCACATCCCAGCGAAAGAGTAGCTAAACATTACGTGAAATACGTCGCAGCATTTGTAGGCACACACCCACATCAAAATTTTCGCAGCCCTTTTCTTTTTCCTATGGTCAGGTGGCTCAAGCATGCTTAGCTCCCTCTGTGTGTCTTTTATAAAGCTGCGCAATGCCCAGCTATAGCGTATGCCGGGCGTACCCCGCGTGCGCCGCGGAAAGTACGAGGTGCGCCTTTTCCTGTGTACGTATTCGTTTGCTGATCACTGACGCATGGTGTTTGCACACGAAGCTCTCTGACATTGGCTCTGTTGATTCCAGTTGCTGACTGTGTCAACTCAAAACACACGTGAACTTTTGTTCTTGGCGTACACAACATGTACCGATGCTATCATATCGTGTTCGACTGTTTTAGTGGAACGAGAACAGACTTTTGTTTTTGCCCGACTGCGTGGTGCCTCTATTGTGTGAAGATCGCGTCCTGCGAGTTAGTTGCGTGCACACTAGAATTACGCACTTCACGTTCATGATCATCGGTAAAGCAGGATGGTGTCCTGTTTTCGGCGTAAAGTTACCTCAAGTACTGGGTTGGCGTTGCGCCACCTAGCTACTAAACAAGTTCTTTAAATCATGCAGTGTTACGCGCACTGCGTGTATACTTGCGGAGAAAAACTAGTGAGCTAATAGACTGGTAAATTGGGCGAAGAGAAAATAAAAGAAAAGCCTAACACAGCACACCATTCTTTTCAACAGTTTATGCTTATCGCCTCGATTACATGACACAAAAAAAGGCGCAAGTCACTGCCAGGTTAGCTTGAATACGTTGGTGTTGAGGCTGAATGTTTTCGATTACGGCAAGTATTGGTGCTTTCTGGACTGTTGCACAAGAACACTTCTCAGAAGGATTTCGGGCCTGCATGCCACGTGCGAATAGCCTGCTAAAAGCGTGCTCATAAAATCTAAACAATGAATGGTTTAAAGGCCCATGCATTACGAAGCAATTCAGACGTTAGTTATTCCTCATCAGCAGCGAAATCGTCCACCAAGTGAGCAGCTCCACATGTTATTATTTATATGGGGGGTTGAAAGTCCCAAAACCACCATATGATTATGAGAGACGCCGTAGCGGAGGGCTCCTGGATATCTCGACCACCTGGGTTCTTCAACGTGCACCCAAATCTGAGCACACAGGTCTATAACGTTTCCGCTTCTATCAGAAATGCAGCCACCGCAGCTGCGATTCGAACCCGCGACCTGCGGGTCAGGAGCCGAGTACCTTATCCCCTAGACCACCGCGGCGGGACAGCTACACATGTTCACGAGTTGCCTTGAGAGACAGTCTTGAGCACATCGCTAATTCGCCAAAACAAGAACAATGGCATCGCGGGCACTTTGTGCTTGCAGTAGGCATATACAATAGTTATAAACTACCAGTGTAAGCTCGCACGGGCGTTCATTTCCTCGCGGAATAGCTGAGGTGTAAACTGAGAGAGCAAGCGAACTACCGGTTTTGAAGGCGATAAGAACGGGGCTGGATTACGCTTGCACGTTATACTCTTGCAGCTGATTCTCACGCATCCTCTAGCATTTTATAGAAATGTATTTACACTCATTCAAGCACTACGTGAAGGCTAGCTTTTTAATAAAACTTATAAATATTTCGGCAAACGGAAGAAAAAGGAAGCACGAACGAAGTGCCTTTGAAGGTGGTTGTTATACCTAAAAAACATTTCCCTATAAAAGTGTGAATCCGTAATCGCAACTCCGGTGAGTACACCACTATACACCAAGAATGCCTGTCAGAAACCCTAAACTCTTTCTCCTTTCCAGTAGGAAAACTGGAAGCTGACATACAGATAACGTATCAGGCGAAAAAAGCGATAAAAAAGCTAGCACCAAAACTATAGGAACCTTAGTATACATACGCCAAGTGGAATATACGCTCGTGCGTGTGTTTTGTCGTCAACATTTTCCCTGTTGTATTATAAATGAAATCAGTTTAAGAGGAGATGTTAGGCTTTGAGTTCAGAACTGTGGCAGCCATATATAAAGAACGCTACGCAAGCGAAAGATAACAAAAAGGAAACTTCTCAACTCCGTAAGGCAGGGAGGTGGAGAAGACGCCATGTGCGCTCACACCCACTCGCGTTTTGACAAAAAAAAAAAAAACGCAGTTTCAGAAAAGGAAACAAAATGAAAGGCGCACGAGGAACGCCAGAAAACAGAGGGATGGGAAAGACGAGAAATAAATCTCACTGCTCACCGAGACAGGAGCGTCCGTCTGGCGCCAGCTGGTATCCCTCCTTGCAGGAACAGCGCTGACCCGTGGCCGTGGCCATGCACTGGTGCTGGCAGGGAAAGCCATCCTCCCGGCATGGAGTGCTCGTCTCTATGTGTGGGAAACGAAGCAGAAAGTCTAGCGCGGGTTCTTAGCCGAACAGGCACTACGCACCGCGAAGCATACACACACAGCAGCATGCATTAACATTTTCACTTCACTCGCCAGTATAGTTCGTACGCTCGCCTATCGATAACTAAGTTTCTTGAGAGTGATTACGGTCGACGAAATTCATTGACCACTTCACTCGCTAGTGTAGTTACGACCATACGCGTTCCCATCGATATCCAAGTTATTGTGAGTGCAAAGACGGTGCCATCAACGAAATTTGGTAATTACTTTACTCTCTAGTATAAGTATCATCGAGCAGTTTCTGGCTGTTAACCAAGTTACGTTGATTTTGTTACGACACAAGCCACAAAATTTCTGAATTACTTCACTCACTAGCGTAAGCATCAACGTATGCCTTCGCATCGATAACTAACTTATCTTCAGTGCTACTACGTTCACGACAACAAAATTCATTGAGGTTGAATGTATGATTTGATAATGAGGTTGATAATGTTTTTCTTGTTTATCTTTACTTAAAGCGCAGAAAATAGTTTTATCGTAAATAAAAAAATGAGGTGAAAGGACAATTGGAAGGATAACAGAACTGCTAGCTTCAAACTGATTTTCCGGCTAAGTTGGCACCTGCGTTGTACTCTTGAACATTTCTTGACCTTTAGGTTCCTGCTCAGTATGATTTGTGAACAATTCATGGCAAATTAGTCACAAGATAAACCTCTTTATTCTCAATGGTTGAACACTGCCCGCCAGTCTGTATACCGTTTGGCCCTACCAGTACATAAAATTTATTTAGAGGAGATTAGTGTCTCTAGGTACGGCGATGCTGGATGGAAACAACACTTTTTCCCTCTCAGCGCAGCCGTCCGCCAGTCTTCTCTAATGCTTTGAAAATATATAATTAGTAAACGTGTAATTATTCTTTTTTTACTTTTACCTTCTGATTATTGATGGGTTTCACTAAACTTAAACTTTATCGCGTCATATGCTCCCCTGGGTTTATAGGAAAAAATAGTGTTTGCACGAGTAAGAAAATTCATTGGCGTGCGAAAACTTTTTTAAGATTGCTTTTTTTTTTGCAATCCACAGATGCACATACCCCACAATTAGTAGTTGTTGGCAATAAAGAAGATGTTCGAAAATTCATTGAGTAAACTGTTTTTAACAGACACAATCACACGAAGAATCATATTCGTGTAAAATGATTTTTATTGTTAACACGCCAAAAAATTGGCATGCAGTACACAAGAGATAGAAGCACCTAGATTCAATTGGTACCGTCGTACGTGCACTCTCTGGTTATGGTAATGACAGTCCGTTAACTTAGTTGTGTCAATGAAGTGTTATGTTGCATGCTTCCTATATCTATGACAGCTGTATTTGTCGATTGACAATCTCTACGGTACATCAGAATAAATGCATGTTTTATTACTGCGAATATAGTGTGGCTTCTCAGCTTTGCGTATTGTAATTATCACTTAATGTACATGTCAGCGTCAAAATAAACACATTTCTAATCACAGTGGCGATGTAAATAAAATGAAGGACGAGAAACAGTACAAGTTACATGTAGGCGGTGCTAACTAAATATAACCCAATTTAAAAATAAATGGGAAGCTCTTTACAGAGAGCAATATATTCTGGAAACCGAGTAGCATTACGCACCGCAAATGTAGTCACTTCTTTTCCCTAAAGCCTACTTATCGTCTGTGAAGATTCTTAGAACCATTAAGGTGCTCCCACAATACGCTGAGATTGTAAGAGTAGGAGAAGTGGTATGCAGGGCATAATACACTTTGCCGAAAACGCAATGGTACTGTCACCACTACACAGCTTGCATTAAATTATTTGTTTTCTCAAAACGTTTGTCGCTTCCTTTAAACAAAATATTATCATACAGATAAGGATGGGGGTTCATAAAGAGTCCAAATAGGAAATATTTATACAACTCACAGTATGCTGCACGGAGGTACAGAGCTCGCGTTAATCGGCAGGCGAATACAGAGCTCGTCTCGAAGGTCGAGAGCACATTGCCAGTGGGGGTGGACACTTAATTTAGATGGAGAGGGAATACTACAGGTCCACGTACCTAGATTTATGCGCACGTTAAAGAACCCCCCCCCCCCCCCCCATAAAAGTAATTTTGAGAGCCCTTCAATACGATGTGTCTCGAATTCTTATCGTGGTTTTGGCCACCAAAAGGGACACATATTATCTGTGTCACTTTACTCGTTTAAACGTTGATTACATGTGTCTTCAATTCTAACAATGTAAGCTTCTATCTAATTTCAACTCTAGTTAACTAGATAAACACGAAGTGCAATTATTTTCTCAGAGAGAGAGAAAAAGAAATAACAGTTAAGTTTACTCAACCGGTTTTCACAAAGAAACGCACAAGAACATATCAGATGGTGTCTTCACAAGGCCCCTAACGTTATCATAAAGTATAAGAACGATGATTTTTTTCTCACCTTCGTATTATTTATTACCGATAATCTGTCACAAGCTAATCTTAGCAAATGGAAAACATGTGCATGACAAATAGATACAAAACGTTTATGCGTAAGCCAGCGAAATTGTGCGCGGTGTTTATCTTTGCGTTGAGCTGGGCAGAAATATATATCAATTTGAGTGCCTGAAAGCGTACTAAATGCACCGTATCCATGCTCCCGTCAGAACGCTCTCATCTAATACTGCAAGCCAGTATTTTCTATGGAGGGACTCGCTCTCTGGATTTCATGCCGACTGGTTGTGCCCCCGCGATCTCCGACGACAGCGCAGCTCTGGCCGGCTGGCTTGCCCTACGCCATCTCATGCCGCCGGCAATAGCTCTCGCTGAGTGGTTCCCTATCCTCGGACTCCTGCGACCGTGTCCATCTTGCCTATCTTCTCTTTACTTCCGTCGTTTTCTGTCGTTTACTGTCCCTGTGCCTCGCTCTCTCTTTCCTCTATCTATTTACTTTTTTAGTCTTATCCTTTTAATCCCTCCTTAGCTCCATCCCTCGTGAGCTACTGTTGAAGTGTCGCTCTGAGATGCAGACAGTTATGGGGCTCACTTTTCTTTTATTTTCTCTTCAAGAATCACATAATTTTTACGGAGACACAACCAACAATTCCTGCTGAATGCATAACAGATTTCTCCACACACTGCTTCACTTCATACCCACCACCCCTTTTCCGCCCGACATCTAATAGATAAATGCAAAGTATTGTTTCTTATTGTTCGGAAAATTTTATGCGAAAGGCAAAAGAAGTAAAATATCTGCGTGCAGTAGCTCAAAAAATTTACGGTTCAGTAAGTCTGTAAAACAGGCAGAATAGAATACATCAGAGCCCCAATAAATTCGTCAATAAGCAGCCGAGCACCAAAACCACTGTACCCCCAGGTGGCCTTTCTGTATAAATTTACATCAGTTAATCCTAGTATCACTCTAATTATACAAGTGTAAGTCATAAAGTTTCTTTCGCTGTACAGTTCAATGCAGAAAAAGTAGTGCCAACAGGCGCGATGCATGCTACCACGGTGTGAACAATCTCTTAAGAAATGTCATTCAAAACACAGCTTGCCTGGATTGTTGCATTCGCGAAATAACCTTAAAGCGAGGTGACGTTTCAGCGTTGTCTGTTTTTACTAGAAAGGAAGAAGATAAAATTGCCATGTGGCAGCAGCTCACTGCAGGTCGTGTTCTGAGCTTCGTCCGAGCGGTCCGGGCAGTCTGGCGTCCCGTTGCAGACGAGTCGCTCCACGATGCACGTCCCGTCTAGGCAGCGGAAGTGGCCGGGGTCGCAGGCAACCTCTCGGCCGACTTCACCCGAGAAAAGGGGCCACGAGCACTGACGTCAATGACCCATCATAGCGCCGTTTCTCTTTCATACGTCGTACAATGACAATGTCGAATGCAAAGCGAAAAAGATGTGAAAGTGAACGTGTATACGTAAGAGTGGTTTGGTTTTCCATGGGACGTCTACTCGCACTATCATGTCCGACTACGGTCTTGAATGCGCTTTTATGAGATAAAAAATGTGGAAAACTTTTCACCCTGAGAATTCGAAAGGGAATACTTTGCAACTTGGTGCTAGAAAAAAGCGTGGACGAGATTTTTGACGGTCATGGTATTTCTAAGATGGTAAATTATCTCAGCAGCACTGGTAGTAACGTATAAATTGTGACCTGATACATGCTATATATTATTTACTTATGACATTTGTACTGATCATAATTTATGTGTCTATGTGATCGACGTCTACGTTTTTGCAACAGACGCATGCAAATTACTTATCTTCTCTTTTGTGTTGTTTTGCGTGCTAGGTTGGATACCATACTTACGTTTACTTTATACCACAATTCTGATTAGGTGTGCAATACTGATTTGCAATGTTTTATTTATTTTACCACCTTTTAATTGCTTATTCATGCGTCACTGCTCTTAACCCGTTCTGCAGGTAGCGGGCGCTAGCCAAGCTGCTTTAGGACAAGTTTATATTAAATTTACTCATCATATCCTTCATGCACTACCGATGAGAATAAAGACTCAATTCAATAGTCGTACTTTCATCCGCCTTGCGGCATGTCGCTGAACGGACTTGCCACAATCTTCTAGAAGAAGTTTCTACAGTTTAGAAGATTAACTTGCGACAATCTTCTGTAGCTTGTGGCAAAAGAGTGTTCTAGATTGTAGGCCCGGAAGCTTTGACAAGGTCGAGAAGTTTGTGAGCAATGTTCGAGCAATATGCGGAAACGAAGGCGGCTCACCGCATCCGTCCTCGTCACTGTTGTCGGAGCAGTCGAAGTCACCGTCACAACGCCACTCGAGTTGGATGCACTTTCCGGACAGGCACTGGAACTCGTGCGCGGCGCACTGCCGTGGCGGACAGTCGCGCTCGTCCGAGTGGTCATCGCAGTCGGCGTCACCGTCGCACTTCCAGTCCACGTTGATGCAGAAGCCGTCCTCGCACCGGAACTCGCCTTCTTGGCAAGCACTCTTGCCCTCTGCCGGGAGGATGCATCTTAAGTCAATTCGTTCACCCTTTGGCAAAGAGCACTGTCCTCACTGATCGAATTGCTTCAACACAACCTCATTGTTTCGATGGGCTAAATACTGCACGTATTTGCGCTCTCTGCGTTTGCTCTCGTTGCATGTATATTCTAGATAACTCACGATTTGAACATTTACCTGTATATAACTAGCATTGAAACCCTTTTGGAACGCCTAAATCTGGAATCGACATTCTGAATGGTTATGTTTGAAGATAAATTTGTCCGTACGTAGTGTATGAGCTCTACTGTTTTCTTTTTTACGTGCAGTGACGAAGTGATGCAAGATTATTGGGTGTTTTTTACTCATTGGGTATTTTTGTCTTTAGAGTGGACGATTATATGCGTACGTAAACGAAGTACAAGTACAAGCTTACGCAATGCTTACAAGCAGTGGAGCATGAAAACGGCTACAGCTATAAGGAAATGCTTTTCTCGATTTCGTGGGCGCGTCTAAAATGTATGTAAATGTGGTGCAACGAACGAAAATGACAAGGTTCGAAACAACAAAGACGAGCTCATAGAGTGTGTCGTCGTTATTCCCTTGTTTGCTGCTGGTGTGCCACTTTCGTTGACAATATCCTTACCACGCACTTCGCTTAACGTCGGCGGTAGCCCAGGTTGTTTCATTCCGTTTTGCAGTTGCCATTCCGATAAATTATGGAAGTAAAAGTGGGTATTGTAAAGTATACAGAACGGCAAGCGGATTGACAATACCACCATTATCTTCGAATTGATTGCTCATTGCCTTCCTCTTGTTGGTATTTATGTATATCATTTTTTAGTTGTTGTAACACAACCTGAACTAGTCACAAATGTAACCTTCTCTGTACTGTATCCAGTCTTGCCTTCGCGACCGGTAGGATGCCGGCAGTATTGAATAAATAAAATAAAAATTAATAAGCATCTTACCACAGCCTTCTTCGTCAGGACCAGTCGCCGCAGTCATTGTCCCCGTTGCAGCGATAGTTCATGCCGACACAGCGACCACTGCGGCACTGAAAGTCTTCCTCCAGGCACATGTTAGATGTGAAAGCTGTAAAAGAAACAAAAGAAAAGTGTCGAAAGCAGTACTTGAGTAATATTTGAGAGAGAGATTTTGCGGTAATTGAAAGTGCCACCTAATGGGTGCTACCAACAGTGGTAGGTAACGAAAATCGGTAGTGTCTAACATTCCAATACCACGAGATGATTTTGAGTAACGCTGCAGTGGAAGGCACCGGGAGTGTTGACTTCCTTGGGTTCTTTATTGCGCACCTATATAAAAGTACGTAGCCCCGAGTATTTTCGCCTCCATCGAAAATGCCGTCACCGCAACCGGTATTCGATCACGCGATTTGCGGAATCAAGAGTTAAAAAGTCCATGAAAGTGAAATGTGGAAGGTGGAGTATTAAACAAAATTCACGAGGAGGACATATAAAAGAAGAGGCGGTCGTAATAAATACTACAGTTTCTAATTTCGTTCGTTTCCTGTTTCTAAATTGTAGCGCCGTTATTTTTTGTCAAGTTTGGTGCTGTGAGCCGGCGGTTATATTTATTTATGCTCACCGACGCCAATCAGACTTTAACCCATAATAACTGCCAAACTGAATACTTTCGTCGCGAATGCCTGATAGCTGTTATATATCCTATACGAACATCTTTAGATAAAAGCTTTTTTTCATAAGCACCATTCGCTCATTGCATTAGGAACGCTTTCTTGTGCTTTGTTTTTTCGGCGTGAACAGGAAGCTAAGTTTATTGATGTTCTTCGCAAGGGTCAGTGCATGGCTGACCAGCCTGGCAGCAAGCTTTATGGAAGCGTTGACATACTCACTGAAAGACTGCGAACGCAACTTTACGCTCTTCTTTGACACTTGTGAAGAGATTATAAACACCATAAACAAAAACAACAAACAGTCCTTTCGTGTGGGTTGTGGCATTCATAGAAGTGGCCACGAAGAGGAAAGGGCGGGTCTTTCTTTTTCTCTGTTTCACTGTTTTATTTGCAGGCCCCCTTGTTTTTATAGTTTTCCGCAGCAGATGCACTTTTTCCTGCGGATTTCATTTGTAGTAGACCAGTGAAATCCGGTGGAGGGTTTGTCTTAATTCTGCGGCGATGCCCATGACCAACTGTGAACATACCTCGGGAAATAATCTTGTCCTTATTAAAAGAGGTCAGTTGTTAAGAAGGGTGCTGACACAAAAAGAATATGGTCTATTTTTGCATCAAATGAAAGGCTGACCTTTCAAGGTCCCAGCAAATGTACTGCTGAACATGAGTGCACCCTAAATATCAATTAATATATGTTCTAAATGCTAGTTTCAGTTCCTCCTGAACCATGGCGCCAGAACCTGGTATGACTTTCTCGTCACGTGCTACCACAAAATGTCGTGACGTTTCTACGGTCATTCCGCACCGTCGCTCCATTGGTGACGCATAAGAAGCCGTTTTGAATATTTTTCCCGGCGCACAAGCGGCGATCATGGAAGGTTTGGTGTCTGCATGTTAAGAAACTAAGCAGACTGCGGCTTGAAATTACCAGAATCAGTACTGTAGCCAGACTTCAAGCTAGTGTTGATGCCGGTAGGTGCATCATGAGAAAATTGACTTGAACATAGAAATAAAGCACTTTATTTGCTTTTGCTGAGCTTAAAAATTTGCTCAGAGCCATATGTGCATACAGCAGACTGATATGGCAGGGCAAAGTAACTTTTGGAAAAAAAATATTGTCAGCACCCTTTCAAGAAAAAAAGTGTTAATGGGAACATGTGTGCCACCATTCGAATGTAGTTTTGTGTTCTCTCGTCACGCCCCACCTTTTATTTTTCTCGTAACTTTTAGCAGGACTGAAAGGAGAGAGAAGGCACTCGAACGAAGCGTGAAACAATCCCTCTAACTCCTTTGATGAAGGGAGGCGATAAACGTTGATATTTAGTCAATTAGATGATTGCCTTAAATATATTGCAAAGTCGCTTTAACTATTGATATGGGGTACTCACCAGTGCAGCCACCTTCGTCTGAGCCGTCGACGCAGTCGATGTCCTTGTCACACCGCCAGGCCAGCGATATGCAGCCGCCCGTCATGCAGCGAAATTCAGCTTCCCCACACAACCGGACCGCTGCGTAATGAAGGTAACGTTCGGGGTCTATTTTAGAGACAGGAAGCTTCAGTAAGGGATGTTCGCGTAGTCTATTTTGACGGGAAGACGCGCGTGATACTAAAACGAAATATCCTTAAACACGCCTCTGCATCATTTTCCAGCTCAAGCGCATGGTCACGTAGAATAAAATTTGCAAGCAGTATAGGTTAGGGAAGCAGCATTGCCCTCCACCACATTTCTAATTAAATAAAGAGCAGTAAAGAGCAGGTGGCAGAACGTGTGGATTACAAACGAGCACCTCCTCAAGCCCAATAGTCAATTGCTTTCTAGACCTCTACTGAGGCAGATGTAAACTCAGCAATCAGCGGGCGGACGTCGAACAAGTTATCTGGGCTTGTCGCCACATCATGTATAGCCAAGCATGCCATATCAGAACTTGCAGTAGGGCAGACCTTGCTGCTTAGCTCAACCATCCGGGAACAGCTGCAATTCATCAGACAAGAATAAGATGCCACAAGGGCCTAAGGACTTTTAGCTGCCATTTGAGGGAGGGGATGCAACTCCTCCTACACTTGCCATTTCGATTAACGTTTCGTCACTCTCTCTAAACATAGTGTAATCCAGCCAGCCTGTCTACGTTGAGAATCCATGTGAGCAAGCAGTTGCAAGCATCCCATTTTTCGGGCGATTACAAAGAGAGCAATAGATACGAACAATGTAGGGATGTTAATCAGTGGGAACCCGCTCAGCTGTAGACTTCACTGGGAAAGAAAATGGTGCCGCAAAATGGAACGAGAAGGTCTTAGTTGGGTTCGCACTTGTCTAGCACGGCCGAGAGCATGGCAATTGATACCTCGCGTTTCTTACTAGCTGCCGTTCAAGCTTGAAATATAGCAAGAACACCTAGGATGCTGTGTCAGTGTGTTTGGTGTCATAACGGCGTTGTTCTTTGCTCACTTCACCAAAAAAAAAAAAGTGGTGGATGAAGCGGCTGACGGTAACACTAAACAATTGTGAGTCGAAGTGAACTTTGAATAGGTACAAACTTTTTTTTTATAACAATAAAGCTGCTAGTGGTTTTGGGACGTTAAACCCCACATATCAATCAACAATAAAGCTGCTCAAAAAGAGTTTTCAACAACAGTCCATCCGCATCACAAATACTTGATAATTGGCTCGCACAGCGTTCTTCACTAATTGTACCACTGCTTTTATTTTGACTAAATTTAAATTATATAAATATATATCTATTATAATAAAAGGGAAATTTATGAAAGCGTTATATTCATGAACCATAAAACCGTGTCTTTTGAATTGCTTTTGTATAGCATGAACCATCGAAACTCCTAAAAGCATCTATGAACAGTTTGCACCTTCCAGTGAATACACCATAGCTTTTGAACTCGCTGTCAGGAATGATCGTCCCTGTAAATATATGTATTCCGGTATCACTGAAAGCGGCGTCTCCACAGAAGTGCCTCAAAATTTTCATTATATTTTTGTTATTATCAGGAATACCACTCATGATTCTTTTTTTGTATGATGTTTCCCCATTTTACCGATGGTGTCCTTATGTTGAGTGTTGCTCCTTGCCAGTGATAAAAAATGGCTCACAATACTAAATAGTACCTTGTAAGTAGCGGTCAATATCGCCGCTTGGAGCAGGGAGTTATGTTCACGAAAAGCTTTTCAAAAAATGCATTAGGCCATTGCTTTTAGCGATTGCAAACACTGCGAACGTACCTACCTACTTTAGTCAACCTGCCGTCCATAGGCTTGATAGAAAATATAAAAGCTTTGGAGGCTGTCTGGCGTTCTCAGTCAATGCGGCTTTTCAAACCAGCTCGACATTACCGGCAGTGTTCGAAAGGATGGCGGTAATGGAAACGACCAACAGTTTGCGCGAGGTTTTTGCCGTGATTTTGAACACTCAAACGAAGTTCAGCGCCTGATTATTGCACAACGTGAGAGAAACAGTGTGCAGTTATTGTTCAGACAATACTCGATACATCTGCAAAAAAAAAACCATGGGAATTTACTTGAATCTATAGTATTGAACTAGCCCCTAAGAGAAAAACCAGTGAAGCACAATTGGAGTTTATATCGCCCTCCCGTCAGCATACGTTCGACCCTCTATAGCACTCAGATGTCCTTGTAAGGTACCAACCAACCAAACAAACAAACAAACAAACAAACAAACAAACAAACGAACACACACACACACGCACACACCCGCACACACCCGCACACGCACACACAGACACACACAAACACACACACACACACACACACACACACACACACACACAGAGAGAGAGAGAAACACATACACACACGCGCACACACACACACACAAACACACACAAACGCACACGTAGACAAGCAGGCACACGCACAGCACTTATGTTCTATGATTCAGCCCATGCAGACTGCTTTATACCACTTCATAACCAGCAAGATCAAGCGCTAATTAGAAGTATTGTGCCGCAGAAATTGAAGAGAAAAATAATAACAATTTTTCTAACACAATTGTCCTACGCATAAAGCGACCGGCGCAAAGTTTCATGAACACTGTTTGCGAGAATGCGCTGAACCGAACGCCCTGCGCAGACAACCCACGTGAACTATGCTCGGCAGCTCGGCGGAATTCGCTCAGCAATATTAGACGCAACGGCGTTTTTCTGGCCGATTCCTAACAATAGTGCGTCGCTAACTGCGCAGACATCTCCCAAATGCCGCAGAAAATGCAACATGAGTTCCGACCGTGACGTGACCATTGCTATGGTACTTCATTAATTATCCGAAAGAAAAAAAAAACACTGGTGAATTCGTATACCTTTCTGCGAACTTGACGGGAGAAACTCTGAGGTCGTTAAAGCGAATGACAGCGTCGTATTTCAGGGCTCCTTTTATCTGCTGAAAAAATCAGCCTCTGATTAACACCGCCGAAAAGGACAGTCACCGTATACGGGGCCGAAACAGAGCGGATCAAAGAATACCGGTTACTCCGGACGGTCCTTCGAGGCGAAAACGGTAGCAGCGTAAGAATACAGGGGACAATTAACGAAGCAACGCCCGAGCTTTCGTTCGTTGCCTTCGCTGTAATTAAATGATGAGCTTTTCGGCGCTGCTTCCATTGGAGCATTTTCTTTCCCCGAGTCACGCGCAGTAAAAGAGGGCTGCGATGTTGGCGCAAATTAGAAACATAATGACAGAAAATTCCGCAAAGAAGGCACTCACTCCTGGCGGGGCTCTTATCTTGGCGACAACCCTCATTCTGGGGTTCTTTTTTTTTAATTCCTTCCGCTTTGTGCCTCTTCCGGTGAGCGACTGTGAAGACTCGCGCAGCGAGCTCTAGGAATCTCCACGTACATGTTCTCACGCACGCACGCACACACACACATGTCGACACCGTCGCCAACATCGACAACAACAACAACACCAGCGCATACTCGACGCATTCAAAACAGCTCTGTGTGAGTTCTCGCTCTTAGCAGCTCCATGCGCCTTCTTCCATTTCCCGGTTCCCTGAAAAGTCGAAGGAAAACCTTCTGATGTTATTTCGTATTCGTGCTTACGTTTTTTTATTCTTTATCGCTTTCCTTTGCCCATTCGCACTTTTAAGGGTTTGTTATTTGACATAGCTTCCCTTCGCGTAAACTTTCTTTAGATTATTTTTCTCATCTCTGTCGTCTTTCATCCGCGCTTCGTTCCTACCGTCTGATTTTGATTTGTTTACGAGATACACTCAGTTTTTCATTTTTAGTCCCACTTTTTTTTCCCCTTTCAACTTCTCACTGTTGTGTTGAATGTGCCTCTCTCCTTCTTACCTTCAGACACTGATTAGTTTTGCCTCTTCTGCTTTTTAGTTCAAAGAAGTCCACGCTTGTCACTTACTATAGCGCACTTCTGCAATGGTCGAAAACTTCTTCAGAGCCAGACAACTTCATGTCTTGCGCTTCGAACGGCGCTGACTTACTGCGTTGCGTGAAAGGCTCCCATGAACTCAGTCACTCTGAGCATTCGCGAATGCCACACAACTTTCTTTGTACTTCTCGGAGTCACACTTGAGGGTAGCAAGCGGTTCCCTAATGACCGGTTTTTCCCAACATTTCCCGACAATCATTGGGTTGCTTGCCACACAAACTCTCGTTGACATATTTTGTATTGTTTTGTTTTCTTTTCATTGTAAACAGCCCAACAAAATCTGAAGCATGAGGAAGACTCTACAAGACTGTGGCAAAACAAAGTAAATGCAGACGCAAGAATAGTCAAAGCTGAGCTGCACAAGTGAAAAAATAACAGAAGGTTTTTATAGAAAGATGAAATCTTGTCTTAATACCTCTACTATTCCTCTATGTTGCTTTATGTTGAAACACGAGCAACTTTGTTTTTCTTTCTCATTTACTTCCGAAATTTACAAGAAAATGCTGGGACGAAACAAAAAATCTCACAAGGTGAAGATATTTTGATAAGGCCTGCGTGTGATTTGTGAATATAATAATATGTAAGGTTTTGCGTCTCAAAACAATGATACGATTATGAGGGACGCTGAAGTGAATGGCTCCGGTAATTTTGATGATCTGGTGTTTTTTAACATGCACTGACATCGCACAGAACACGGGTATCTAGAATTTCACTTTTATAAATGTGACCGCCACAGCGGGGATAGAATTCGCTACCTTCGGGTAAGCAGCCGAGCACCCTAGCCACTCCGCCCCTAATTTGCTACCCTTAATCAACCGGACTCTCACCTGGTTGATTTTCCTGCCTTTCTTACGTTTACCTACACTTCCTCCGGTAAGAAAAATACGAAGCGAAAAGCAGGGAAAAGTCAAGACTGTTTTTGCCTCTAATGATTGATTGTAGAAACGTATTTGTTTGCTCTGGCCGGTGTTCGGGACCTTTACGAGACTTACTGTGTACTGCTGTAGTTTCACAAAAAAGACGAAGTAATGATATCAATATGATTGTGGTCGTTTAAAACGTGGTGATATCGTATTATGCGTGAATTGACA